GCTGCCTCATTGACAAGCTTATGTTACAGATATATATTTTTATTGTAATTATTATCTAAGTAATATGAATAGATAGAAGTAGGTAAAAATATATTAATTTCATAATATCTTTTAGAAAAGCTTTCTAGAAGCTTTTTAAATGTTGTTTTGACTTTACATATATTTGTAGTTGATTGATAGGTTAAAAACTTGGTCAACAAGCTATCTATATACCATATATATTGGTAGCTTATAAAACAAGTTAACTATGTAGCATCCATATAGAAAACTTACTTTGCAAGTCAAGATATGTATCATGCAAAGTCAACACATTTTTGGAGGTCCTATAGAATATTGCCACATAGATCCTAAATAAATAATATATATAGAGGCAAGAATGAAGCCTTTTTCACACTTCACAACTCTTTTTTTGTTTTTAATCTAGTTTCAAGAGTTTTTAATTTTCTTATCTTTTAGCAATACCTATTTCAATTTCCTTTCAATATACATACTTCTCTAATTTTTATTTTGTTATATTTCTTTGAGAGAGTTTCATTTAATTATTTACTTTTATTGAATTCTTATCTTTGATTGTACAATGCTTTTAACAACCTTCTATATTTGAAAATACCAAAAATCTTTGGATATTATATTCAAAGTCTGTTGTATTTAAAATGTCATGCTATTCGGAAGTTATGATGAGCTTAAAGAATACGTAATTATACCTTATTATCTCCTAAAAAATTTCACCTTATTTTGCAATAAAAATTTATAAACAACCAAAAAATCACAAGGTCTTTGCTTTATTACATTCAAGAGCCTTAACTTATTTTATAGACAAAGACTTTTTTAAAAAATAAATAAGTATTTTTAATTTTAAAAAATAAATCTATATATGTAGAAGTCATAGATGATTGTTTATTTTTTTTTAGAGATATTATTTATAAAATTATTTATTAATAGTAAAATTAATACTAAAATTATTTTTAGATGTAGCATATAATAGTTATAATAGCTTTGTAATATTAAATATAATTAGATCTCTCTCCAAATTTTTTATTTTAAGATTATTGTGGCTAAAGACGTAATACAATCAAATAAATTCAATTTCTCAAAATCTTAATATTTTTTATAATTTAACTTAGAATTATACTAGTCAAGTAAAAATCTATAAATTCAATACAATCAAATTTTTATTAGTAGAAGCAAGAGATTTTATGCATGGTACAAAAGTGGCATCAATTTTACTATTTATATCACATCTACTCCTAATGGTGGAAATACTTCACATGAAAATTTAAGCCAATGTAAAGATTATTAAGATGTTTTTTAGAAGAAGAATGCAAATATTCTTCTAAAACATTGTTCTTAAGATTTTTCCATTGATCTTCAAGAATAAACTCAATTGCCATTTGGACCAATCTATATTTTATTATAAAATAAGTTTTCTAAAATCAAGGAATATATTGATGAGAATCTAGCAAAGAATTTTATACATCATTCAAAATCTCTACCAAGAACTCCTATTTTATTTGTGAAGAAAAAAAAATGAATCACTAGAGATTTGTGTAGAGTATTGAAGATTCAATAAGATGACTATCAAAAATAAGTACCTTCTATCTTTGATATTAAGACTTCTTCATCAGTTGAATTAAGTTAAGATCTATTCTAAAATAGATCTGTAAGGAAAATACAACTTAGTATGCATCAAAGAAGAATATTAATAATAGACAATATTTGAAACTAGGTATGGATATTTTGAATATAATGTCATACATTTTAGACTCATAAATGCCTCAACTACTTTTTAATATCTAATAAATGATATTTTTTAAGATTTTCTTAATAATTTTGTTGTTTGTTATTAATATGATATCTTAATTTATTCTAAAAATATTAAAAAGCATAAACTTTTTATTTTTTATATATTACAAAAATTTCAAAATACAAGATTATACATCTAGATAGAAAAGTGTATATTTTATATTACTCAAGTTTACTTTTTAAGATATATCATTTCAAATGATGGCTTTATGATGGATCCTAAAAAAATTTAAACTATTATAGATTAGAAGATTTTTAAAATAATATAAGACATCTAATATTTTTTGAAATTTTCTAATTATTATTGGATCTTTAACAAAAACTTTTCTTAAGTTATAACTCAATTATACATTTGACTTGTAAAAACAAACTTAAGTAGAATAAAAAAGTTAAAGCATTATATGAAGGCACAATTACGTATTCTTTAAGTTCATTACAACTTTCTAATAGCATGTCATTTTTGATACAACAAACTTTGAAACTAATATCCAAAGATTTTTTATGGCCTCAAATGTGAAAGGCAGTTAAAAACTTTGTACAATCATGTAATTGTTGTTTAAGATCAAAATTCCTTGTCATCAACTTTATAGACTACTTCAGCCATAATCAATATCTAAACAACCATGGTTTTTTGTTTCTAAAGATTTCATGACAAGTCTTTCAATTTTACTTTTATATGATTATATATTTGTGATTGTAGATCGTTTCACCAAGGTAGAATATTTTATACTATGTATAAAATCTATCATAAGTAAAGAAATAGCCAAGTTTTTTCTTAACAACATCTATTGCTATTATGGATTGTCCAAGATTATTATATCAAATAGAAGAACTCAATTTGTACCAAGATTTTGAAAAACTCTTTTCAAGTTTCTAAAGGTAGACATAAAATTATCTTTGGCTTTCTATCCTCAAATTAATGGATAAATAGAGCATATAAATTAAATTTTGAAATAATGTTTGAGATATATCATCAACTATCAACAAGATGATTAGATAATTCTATTGCTATAGATAAAATATGCTTATAATAATATAATACATTCTTCTACGTAATAAATATATTTTTTTATTAATTATGGTTACCATAGAACATTTGATGTTTGTGACTTTTCAAAAGTTAATAATCTTGCACCAAAAGATTTGACAAATCACTTATTAAAAATATATTCAACAATAATAGCACAACTAAAAGAAGCTCAAGAACAACAAAAGATCAATCTAGATGCCTATTACAAGGAATAACCTCAATTTCACGTTAACAATAAGATATGATTACTTTGTTGTAATATCAATACTAATTATCTTGTGACAAATTAGATTGCCATAAAGAAGAAGTCTTAAACTCCAAGTGATGCCAAAATAGGTTGAAATATTGTATTCATTGATACATATATGATATTAGTAAATGCACATAAAAGCTAAGAAAGAAACTTACAAATACAACAAAGAATGTTGATGCTTTTCATTGAGAGCATTCATCAAAATCAAGATAAAGAATAGCAAATCTTTTCTATAAAAGAAATAAAGCATTGAAAAGAATGCATTCTACCTTATATTTTTGTATGTAGTTTTTGTATATTTCTAGTGCTTTAAGATGGAAAATCAACAATTAGCAGATTTAACTCAAGAGCCATTGATTGTTGAGTTATTCAATGAAACATCATAATTATTAGATATTTGAAGATGATGTAACAAAGATGAAGACTTTCAAGAACAACATTTTTTTTCTCAAATACATAGTGAAAAATAATATATTTTGTCTCACAACTTTAGAAGAGACTCCCAATATTTGATGATATTATTGAAAGTAGAAACTACTCTTAACAATGTTTCAAATGGTTTATTTGAAGAAAGTTACAAAGGTCTCAATAATAATCAAATAACAAGGTGATCTTCTTATCTTAATATGGGACATTATTCATTACTAAGAAGATCCATCAACTACCTTTAATAGGATAAAGTTGATATTATGTGGCAAATACAAATTGTTGCATCTTAGACTTCCTCAACATATAATTAATTCTCTTCATGGAATTCTTTCCTAGAAAGGAAAAAAGAGTAAAATATCAAAGACATGAATCTCAAAAAAAAAAAAAAAAAAAAAAAAAAAATCAATAAATCAATAAATTCTTGTATCACTCAAAAAGATTAGAAAATCATTCAAAGATGGTATAATATTACATTGAAATGTCTTTTGCCAAAGACAAGAAGTCTAGAAAGTCTTGAAACAATATTAAAGACTAAAAAGGAATTGATAAGAGTGAAAAAGGCTTCACTCTTGTCTCCATATATATTGTCTAACTAAGAGTTATATGGCAACATTCTAAAGAACTTCTAAAACTTGTCCAATGTGAGAAACACATGTTTTAAATTATAAGGCAAGTTTCCTATAGCCACATCACATTTTTAGCTTATACCACAAGCTATCCAAATGTGTCACTTACATATATATATATATATACTCTAATAATATGAATAGATAGAAATAGATTAAAATAAATTTATTTGATAATAACTTATAGAGAAGCTTTTTAGAAGCTCTATAGACATAATTTTACTTTTATATATATCTATGAGTGATTAATAGGTTAAATACTTGGCCAACAAGTTAGCCACATGTTATATGTATTAGTAGCTTGTGATAAAAACTTATTATATGGTGCATGTATGAGAAACTTGTATTGCAAATTAAGACACATGTCTTAGAAATTATACACATGTTAGAAGTTTTACAAAATATCAACATGTACATAAATTACAAATTAAAAATTAAAAATTTTTAAATAATTTTTTATAAATAATTAAAATTAAATATACATATTTTAAGAACTTCTTTAGAAAGTTAAATATATTTTGTGTAATTTTTACATACAATGCTTTAAGATATTTGTGGAAAAAATAAATTATATACACTTTTGTTATTACAACATTACATTAAATTATTGGAGGACAATAGCAACTCAGGGTGGATGGTCTTCTACAAAAGTTTGTGTGTTGTGTAACTAAAGGAAGTGGCTCACAACGAGGGGGGGGCCTGCCAAACCCCACAGAGAGTATTACAAAGGGATGCAATGTTAACCAAGATGTAGAATTGTTCTTCAAAGCTTTAGATATCCAGTTACAATGAAGAAATCTCAAATGTTAACAGAAGCGCACGCCACCAAAGCAAGGGAACAGCGTCCCCACCTGAGGGGAACGTAACCGGGAATATGGGAACAGTGGGGAGGAGGGGGGGAGCTTCCGAGGCGTTTGTTTTTGTTTTGTTTTTGTTTTGTTGCTTCGACCTTTCTTCGTTGTTGTTGTTGTTCTTCGTTGTTCCTCTTTCTTTCCTGGTCCTTTTTCGAGGGTCCGAAGCATCGAGACATCGGGGCTGCGGCGTGCGAGATGGGCAAGAGGGGCCAGCGAGCCTTCGAGCGCACCCTTGTCTGCGTGATCCAGGCGCTTATGGGCTTGGAGCTCCTTGTAGAGCTGCGCAACGACCTCTCCATACGCGGCATTCTCGACGATTGCGACAATGCCATGAAGTGAGTGAGACCATCATCTCTCCTACCACTTTGCACCCACTCCCTATGGCCTGCATTTAGAAAGAAAGAATCGGGTTTTGTAGTAGAAATTTGCATTTTAGATGGGTGCGCTTTACAATCCCGTCCTCTGACGCCTCTCATCTGGGCTTGCTTTGCTGCAGCGTGATAATCAAGGATGCGACCGTAGAAGATGTAGAGGTGCTTAGCTATCTGCGTCGCGTTTTGTGTGTTTGGGATTTTTTTTTTTTTTTTTTTTTTTTTTCTCCCTCTCCCTCTCCCTCCAGGTTGAATTAGAGTGTCATTTGTTGAAGCAAGTGCTGGAAATGAGATTGCCCGTCTTGTCGCCCAAGGATTCTGTAGCTGGCGATGGTTGGAGGTCACTGTAGAATTCTGTTCTCATCGTGCTGAAGGTGACGTCTTTCGTGTGTGGTTGTGGGTCGGGATGTGTTTTTTTTAATCGGGGAATTAGAATTAGGGTTAGCGTAGTCGTTGGATGAGATGTGTTGAAAGTTCTCATTTGTATTGTTTTGGCAGGGGGTCCAGAAGCAGCTTCCACTTGTGTTCCTAAGAGGAAGCAACATACGCTTTGTGCATATTCCGGATAATGTGGACATCATGAAACTCGTGGAAGAGAGGGTGAGTGTCAATGCTGATTCCAGTGCTCGTGTTCATGTTTGCACAGTTAGCATTTTGCAAGGGTTAATCATTTTTTATACTCACAGATTAGGTGTTTTAGTTTTTCTTTTTGGTAGGATTGGTTTGTGACCATAAAAATCTTAGTTGAAGAATGCTGAGTCAAAACAACTGTCCCCGAATCCCCCTTTCCGGTTTCTTTTGTTCTTTTTATTCTTTTTCAATTTTTTGCTGGCTTCAACGTTCCTCATTGGACATCTTACGAAAGTAGTTATGTGTTTAGCAAGGCGGGCTTTCTGATTCAATACAAGTTTGCAAACAATTAGGGGGCATTCAATTGACAATGTGTGTACCCTTCAGCGTTTAATGCTCGATCAAGCTGCAACTGCCTACACGGGGAAAGGAGCACCAGCTCCCAAGCCACAGGCAAGCGTAACAACAGCTTAAGTATGCCATTCAACTCTCTCTTTGTGCAGTGATGCAAGGTAAAATTCCACGCTTTGTTGTTCCTCAATACCCGATGCACTCTCTGATGTCGCAAATCGCAGTTTCAAGCATAGAGCAGTTCATAATTCCTCGAGGTGATTGAATTGGTGCTAGTCATTGGAAGTCAGTACACCTGATCCCTCCATTATATCTACAATGAGGCGAATGTGATTGATCGACAAAAGTGCTGTGCAGGACGATTGTGTTGAAGTGGATGTATTGTATGAAGATGAGATTAATGCAATAATCGCCAGAACAGGTGGTAAGCATTCAAGCTGCTCCCAAATTCTTGTGCCATTGCACAACCATTTGCTGCACAGTCTGTTTCAGACAAGTAAGCACTGCAAGACCTTGACAAAGCAAGTACTCTTGTTTGGTTTAGAGGTTTGTTTTCTCTGGTCACAGTTGCAAAAGCCATTCATACCTCCATTCACATGATTTGACTGTGCATAGCCTGGCAACTTCTCGTGCAACATAACTATGTATCGTCATTAGATTGTAAAAAAATCAATCAACATTATGCATTTCATGTAATTATAATGATGTGTTTATTTGATTACCCATCACAATTGCAATCTAAGAATAGAAAGAAAAACACAAAAAATGTTGAAATTGCTGAAATTTGTTGAAGCTAAATACAGAACTTTTATATATCACAACAGTAAGATATTTATATAATATTTGGATGTGTATGTACATATTAAAATTTCCAAAGAGTTTGGAATTTTTTTTAATCACTATCCTTTGTGTATTTTTTAGTTTTGGAAACTTGTCATCAAAATCATGCTTACTGCTTTCACACATCGTTTTTTAGTGTAATCATAATAGTTGTTTTCAAACCTTGTTATTGAATTAAAATAGACAATTTTTTGCAACAGGAATATCTTTTGAAACTATGTTTGTATCTGCCGACACATTGTTTCAAATGTAATATTCATCTCATTCATACCTTTTACTTTTTTGTTGTTTACACAGAGAAGTGTTATCTCAGTTGTGTTCTAGAGGTCTAATTTCTTCCAAAAGACCATTAGTTATAGCTATGGAAGTAGGAGCGGCCTTTGCCAAGAAATTTGCAATCCAGATGGATGTATTTCACAATTGTGAACATGCAAAAAAACAGTGATAGATTTATCCCATCCACACTAATGCTGACACGTTTTCAATACTGTTAACAATGATTAAGTTGAACGTGGATTAGTACCAAGGGGTTTCCTCAGGTCTCGTTTCAGACCATGCATCGTACTGCACGTAGAAATCTACTTCATACTGCTAACAGCTTATTCCAAGGAACAGTAACAGTAGTTTCTAAGTCTACAGTGACTAATTATGAAAACAAAATGATGCCAATGGACCGGAATCCCGGTTACGTGCACTCCTACACAAAGCAATACACATGAGTACCAAAATATAGCTAGAAATAGATGAGACCTCTCTATAATAGGCCAGAAGCAAAATAGTAGGAATTCTATCTGATCAACTATTACACTACGATCCAACGAGTTGAGAACAATTCTTCAAACTATGAATAGGAGTCTAGTATGTCATGGTACATATACAAGGAACAAAAGTATGAGATCAGCTTGAGCGACCAAGTCTGGCCAAATGAGGACATATCCCTCTTCTCTTTCAGGAGTAAGTTTCCAGTGAACTAAGAAAAAAACGCCCCAAGAAGCTACACTCTTAGAGCAACACTCATCAACACTCAGAACTACTGTGCCAAAATTTTACGAGTAGTTAGCCTAGCGCCATGATACTCGTGTACAATGGACCTTGGTGTGAACACATCGCGAGTCCTGAATGAACTTCATATCCAACCTTCCAGCTGTAGAAAATTAACATGTATCTCTAAAAATTCAGCTTCGGCTTCCAAGAACTACCTTACCTCTTCAAGAGCCATCCAGCTTTATGCAGTCCCTCAGCTCCAGGCTGTCAATTTTAGAACTTGGAACACACGCTGTCCACGATATGATCCCAACCTAATTAGGAGAAGCCGACCTGATACCATGACTTTGAAAAAAACGACGTGAAGCTTAATTTCTTCATTCGCTCAATTGAAGTACCACCAATATGTACGTCCTACCAAACACCAAACTTGAGCTCGGTACAGGTAGTGATTCGCCGCAATGATGGCTCTTTCATCACCCATCACATTAAATACTTGGTTTTAACAAGTAACGTGTCTTTTGTATGCAAAAATACTGGAAACTTCTACCGCTCCGAGCGTTGTCAGCCAGTGACGGTCCACAGCGTTGCATGTGTCCATCGGAATGCATGTGCTAGTGCATTATCTTTTGACCTCAGTAACCAATTTGCTCTCTTCTGTATCCTTCGATTTATCCTGCTCCTGCTCGTCTACTAAAACTCGCTTGCAAGCTTCGTAACACATAAATGATATACCCGCAGCTGGAATGATTTTTATGCAGCTAGGACCAAGACCACGGTAAAGGCCTCCAGGGCCTTGCTCCTTCACAATACTAGATAACGCATGAAATACATTATTGTATACCTGTCGCCCACCTATATTTCCGACCTATAAAATACACCAAATATTAACATCACCAATAAAATCTAGATAGATATAGCTTGGAGAAATAAATTGCAAAAGCAGGCATACATCACCGACGCAAATGAGAATTTAACTTAATCAATAGACTACTATTGTGATGTAGAATCTCCAATCATTTGAGCAAATGATCCCAACACTCCAAGGAAACACTTAAAATTTAGAGGAGTATTATTACCTGCATCTGTTTCCGTGCGACTTCTAATGGGAATGACGCTGTACTGGCCACGGCTCCTGCGATAGATCCCATCAAAAGAGTCTCTAGGTTTCCAATGTGTTCTTTCTTCGTCAATTTCCTGTACGTCTTTCTCAATGTGTCATAAGAGCAGTAGTTCATCGCTGCATATGGAATCACACCAATGAGACTCGGAAGTAGGCCTCTGTATAGCTCCAAAGGACCTTCTTCACTCACAATCTTGACAAATGCGTGTAGCAGGTTGTTATACATACCATGCTGCAATGCAAGATGACATTAGTGAGCATTTATAGATTGCACTGAAGAGTAAAACATAGTTAATTCGCCCCTTGCTTGCAGATTGGAACATAAAAGACAAACGAATTAGTTACACCTGCATGGTATTTCATCCTAACGTTGCCTCGAATGCACGCGATCAGAACATACACTCGCATAAGTGGGGTGATCGTAGAATAAAACAAAGTTACAATTCTGCAAAGGGAATCGCACCACATTTAGTTCTAGTTGTAAAGCAACCGACCTCAACAGTCAACCGAGTCTTGAGCAGCTCAAGCGGGTACATAGTCACTGTGGAACATATACCAGCCGTTGCTCCAGCAATTGTTGAGGGAGGGACAGGAATATACGATGGTGCACCATTTTTAGGCGTCAGAAAAGTCTTCACTGAGTCATAGACGAGGAGCTGTACAAAAAAACCGTCTGTTCAATGAGAATTCTTCCAACATGTCACAGCAAAAGGGAATTATTCTGATTAACATTGAATCACAACCCGCCCTGCTCAATTGTACTCCCGGTGGGTCCCAGAAGCATATATGAAATGCAGAGTAGGAAGTTCAAAAACGAATGTGCACGCAGGAGAAGCTAACAAGATTCAACAGTGGAGTACGACATCTACAGTTCCTGAGTACTTACGAGATGCACCAGCAAGGAACTGTTGCCAAGGGCATGAAACACAAAAACTCACCTCAATTGCTTTGCTTGGAGCCACTCGCAGCACGTTGACTCCATTCCCTCGAAACAGTCCTTGCCAGCCATCCCTTTCCATGATCGTATGAAACATATCAACTACAGAATTTTTACCACCAGTCCCAACCATAAGATGAGTGCGAATTGTCTCCAAAGGCGCCACTGCGGTTCTTGACACGGCGCCCGCAACAGCTCCACTTATTAACCTTCTCAACGAAGCATTTCCCACTTTCAACTTGAATCCTTTGAAGAAGACTCTCTTCGACTTTTTTTTCTCCTTCACCTCCTCCACCTCCACCCTCGTCATAAGACCAAACACCTCCCTAAAACACCACACAATTGCATCAGCAACAAGGTTCCCATTCCCAACCATCACCACAAAAAAGACATCCACTCTAAAACCACGGAGCGCTTCCTCTCTCAACACCCTCACTCACCGAAATTCAGCTTCGCTAGGGACGAGCGTGTGAAACCCAAACTCCGAAACAGGCGTCATTGCTTTCGCCACGCTAGCGACTCCCGCCGTCCCCTTCCGCCTCTGCACGAGCTCCGCCGTGCGCTCGCTGGTGCTGGCCACCAGCGCCGCGGGCATGCTATTGTGCGTCACCCTCTCCGCGAACAGCTTCTGCCTCGCAGCAGGGCGCTGCTGCAAGCCAGCCGCGGTGGTGGCGCTTGTTGCCCTGGCGGAACATGCCGTGATGCTCTCCGTCCCCGACCCTCCCATCCAAGGCTTCTCCTCTCCTCTCATGCGTCACTTACAAACCCCCCTCCCCTCCTCCTCCACAACCGCACCCTAATCGCAACTATTCTCTCTTTCCCTTCCCTTCCCTCTCTTCCCTTCCCCCTCTTCCTTTCCCTTCTCTTCCCCGCCCCGCCCTGCCCCTCCTTTGTCAACAACAGACGAGCACAAACACACACGATCCGGGCATGGAGAGATGAGGTCGCGAGGAAGGATGCGGCAATCAGATCAGGATTGCGAGTCTCGGCCCCGCCTCTCCCTCCCCTCCCCTCGTGACCTCGTCTGTCTGTCTGCGACCAGAGAACGCGACCAACCCTTCTGCATTGATAAAGCCAGCCCCCCTGCCCTGCCCTTCTTCGTCGTCGTTACCCCCTAGCCTCGTCGCCCTCTCTACCACACGTGTACATGTGCCGCTCCAATGAAACCCTAGATGTATGGAGAAGGGTATTCTGGTTTCGTAGATGTTGAGAGGGATATGTAAGAACGGGTCGGTGGGTGGGATCTGGATACTTGTGTGTGTGAACGCGGTTGGCTTGGTCGTGGAGGGGGGGAGTTGCCCTTTGTTTTGTGAAGGGGGGTTCTATTCCCAATAGGACTCTTGTTATTGGGGGCGATGTGTGGGGCCCTCGTTGTTTCATAGGATTGAATTTGGCATGAATTTTATGACATGTGTTTTGTTGTGCCAATTTAAGCCGTCTTGAACGTATCTCTATGTCTAGAATAGGTTGTTTCTTTGTTTAATTAGACGCAGGGTGAACGTTGATTTGAACTTACTTTGATCTTTATAAAAAAAATTCATACTAATGCTCAGCATAGAAAAAGTAATGTGCATAAACAAACCACTTCCATTTTGATTTGGTATTTATATACAAGCAACTTGTAACATGGAATTATTTCCTGTAACATTGGAACATCCCTTAAAACAATGCATGACCTTAGTTCAAGTGCAGTTTTTTTGAATACATCAATGTTGAACAGAGTGGACATCTCTACCAAACAATTTATGCAACACATATATATATATATATATATATATACACACATAAGTATATAGCAGTTACATATCGATCATTGCACTGAAGAGCCCACTATTTAATGACAGGGGCGCCACGTCATGTATTGATTGCAAGTAATTCGTTGACACATGGCACTCACCTCACCTTCCGAGTCAGATATTTACAACTTTTTTTAACCCAACTCACAATAATCGTATCTTTCCATCACCCAGAGCAATTTCCACAACTTGCTTAATAATCCATGTATAAGTCTAAACAAAAAAAAAGGATTTTAGAAGCCATCTAAGTTGCAAAAGTAAAAGTTTCAACATATTCTAGGAAGTCAACACCAACTTTTTTGAGGGAAATGCACCCCATAGCATGGCTTTTTGTATTGGCCATCAAATAGCTCTCTTTAATTATGAAAAGGTGTTCTAATGTAGGGGGAGGAAACCAATAAACCTGTGCCTGGGAATTTTCTGTTAGCATTTTGCAAGCCCCTTTATTTGTGAGATCCCAGGTCATCGAAAACCTCGGAAGAGCTTTGCCACCCTGAATTCCGTGTCAACACAGGGGCACGGTGATTGGCCACGGTAATAGGCGCCTTTCATTGGACCACGGGGGTGGGAAACTATGTGACTCGTGGCTGCAGACGTGGCAGTTTGTGTGAACTCTCAAGTCCACCCGCTCATGAAAATAGGAGGGATCCGAATGGGAGGTCAAAGCAGGGCCAGATCAGCACGCTCGGTCCCACCTGGCATGGGAATTGTGCTGAGTTGGACAATGTGTGGCTCACTACGTTATTGTGGAGGGAATTCTTTTCCATGCTCGTGCAGCGTTTCCTTTGAATATTGCCCAGCTATTTCCCGGTGATTGTTTACTTTGTGAGTGTACATTGACTTTCATTTTAGTAATTTTAAATGTAATATGTTACTTCGGTTCATGAGCACAAATAATAAAGCGTGATTGTTTTTACAATAATAGAAGTATTACATGGTTCTTATTCATACCCTACTCATAGTTGTGGCTATGTGTTGCCAACTATACAAAAAAATAGGGTCTTAATGGAGAAGTTAGAAGTTAAATTGTAAGTTTTTTTTTTTTTTTTTTTTCTAATTTCTTTTATGAATTATGCTAGAACATTTCAAGAACTCCATTTTGATAGTTATTACACAAATGATCTTAGCATTAATTTAGGGGATGTATTCAATTTGGAAAAAATACGTAAATGGGGCATTGGAGAAGTTAATGAGTGATTTGATTATGATTTAATGCATTCTGATGTGCAATGCAAGTTTAGGACAACTTGTGGTGGCATTAGCAAAAACTTTGATAGCATGTAGTGGATGGCAAGTTATTGTAGCATTAGCAAAAACTGTGATGGCATTAACCACATAGTATTTTTAGGGAGTTGTTAAAGCCACAACATCCAAATCATGTGGTGATTAATTTTGGGAGATAAGGGATGGAGACAAGGATGGACGGAATCGATCATGAGATGGTAATATGGGGTGTGGTTTTAACAACTCCCAATATTTATCAAATTAATAAAATATAAAACTTAATTTTATATTTTGCATCAAATAATATAAAAATTGTATGATTTTTGTGTATGATAAATTTTTATACAATAAAAAATAATAATAAAAGACAAATGCATAATTATCAAATTTTAGATAGCAATCCACAAGTCTACAATTTGTATTCAAACATCATAGTGCTTTTTCTTTTCAAATCATGATGATTGTTATTAATTTATATAATAGTTTTCACTAGACTTTACTAATGTTAACTAATTGGATTCCAATAAGTTACTTCATTTCCAATAGATTTATTCTTCCACATTGTCTACAATACAAAATATAGTTTTAAATTCAATATTCTAAATATTGTTATCCACTGTAATATGATTTTTTAATAACGAAAATGTTTCATTCAATTGGAAGAAATTTTTAACTCTCTTTATTTTATTTTTTAAATTTCCTTTTGACTTGATTAAGCTGCCATTATTAATTTTTTAATCATTAGTAACCTCATTACAACTCTTGTATTATTACCCAAATTACAAACCACTCAATAAGCAAACATTTTTTTTAGTTTAAGTCATTTGTTTCATATAGAAATAAAAAGTTCACACACTCATTGATCAAGGTTCTAGGGTTCTTGTGAATGTTTTGTGAAAAGCATAATCACCATTTTCATTTATTCACCTATTTTCTCCACGTGCATAATTTTTCCTCTCCATGCACACGACCAGGAGTGGAATTCATAGTAAAACGGGAGATAATTTCTTCGAACTTCTCCACCAAGAAGACTTCCGACACGTGGATGGAACATTCCAGATCGGCACCTTGTGCCAGGTCACCCTCGTGCAAGTAATTTCCTGAGAATTCTCAATTCAGAATATACTCGATACTTGGACGAAACAGTCCATGGTGGCACTCTTGTGCCACGTCACACTCCGGAAGCTTACGAGAGGAGACTTACTTCTCGGGTGCTTCGTCGGAGGCTTGATTTTGTTAAGGGACCGAATTCGCCGAAGTGGGTGTTTTGGGGGAGATTTTGGGGTGCTTGTTGCTGAATTCTTGAAGCCTTTGGTGTTGGAGTTGAACTGGTTTTACGGAGTGTGGCTGAGAAAAGAGAGGGATTGAATTGAGGGCTTGATGTGGAGGAGGCGCGACAATGATTCATCGAAAGCCTCAACCACGAGCTCCGAGAAACCACACCGCCCTTGTGTCGCTGCCGAACATCAACGATGTTGTGACGCCGGCCCCGGCGTCTGGATCACCTTCACTCCCTGCAATCAGTAAGCGCAAGTTTTTGGATTTGTATTCTTCTTCCGTGAAGAGAAATAGGGTTTTGATCAAGAGGTCGCGTGAGGACGAGAATTCAGTCGGTGGTAGTGGGCAAATTTCTGGTGAGGAGAACGATGTGGCGGATGTGAAGCCGTCGGAGGAGTCGCGAAGAAGAATAGGGAATGAGTTGGGAGAGCACGAGAGGGCGGAATCCACGGATGTGGTGGAACGGAATGGGGACGAGGTTGCGGAGGGCAATTTAGAGCAGGGTTTGGAAGAGTGGACGATGCCGTGTGACACGAAAATTGCACTCGAGTTGATGCGCTCGCAGTTTCCGAAGGTCGAGAAGAGCAGCGTGCCCCCCTTCGTCCTCCGGTCTCAGCTTTACAGTAGTGTCAACGACCGAACCCTAGTGGACAGGGAACTTGAGCGTATGAAGCTGGACCGTTTAATTCGAGTTTTTAAGCTCAGCACCGGACAGGACGAGCATGCCATCATGTTAATGGCGGATTATGTCGCGCAGATTAACGCTTCCAAGGCTAGATTGGCGAAAGGCAAACATTCACCAGCAGATATGGCTGTGTTTGATTGGTTTGTGCGTCACGTACTTCCTGTTCATTTCGATGCCGGCATTACTCATTCGAAGCTCGTGGACTTGTTGTCTGAAGGGGGTGAAGTCAGGGACAGCCACATCACGCTTCTCATGAACGCAGGCTTACTTACAAGGCAACTTGGGGATGGAACTGAATATTGGCTGGCAATCCCTAACGTGGGATTTCTGCTGAAGAGCCTGACGGGTGGGAGAAAAGAGATCATTTCTTTCATGTCAAGGAGGAAGTATAAGGAGATGCTGCAAGTTCCACTTGAGAGACGGCGTTTGCAATACTCTGTGCTTGGTATGCGGTTCCACATTCGGGATCTTTTAGGTCTGGGCCATATTCACACTGTGAATTCACCGTCCGGTCCGATAATACGCTTGAGCCGTGATTGAGAAGACGTTACAACTAGATCTCTGTCAACTGCGGATCTGGAGCGTTGGGTTAGAGCATGATTACCCGTGCACAGCTGTTTATCTGTGATTGAAATTGCAGATCTTAAAGTCTGCCTTCAGTGAACAAATGCACTTGTCACTACGGAGCGAAACCTGTCCGTGTAGTCCACGAAAGCTGTAGCAGAGTCTAAACCTTGCAGACCTACCTTAGTGTATTCAGTAAAGAATTTTCTGCCCTAGCTACAGAGACATGCTCTTAAACGCAGAGCTCCATAGAGGTTATACCAAGAGTTATACGCTACTTAATTAGTTATGTGGACCTTCGAATACTGAGCATTTGTTGTGGTCATTGGCACTCTCCTAAACGCTGAATTAACCACGTCTGAGCATTTTTATGTACAGCATCGAGATTAATATTTGATGTTACAACCAGAAGAGAGCTCTTCGAGCAACTCTCGTGTATCATCGTTTCAGACTTAGAAAAAGCATTGTGTGAAATGGCAATTTTTTTTAAATGTGGAAATATAATGGGAACAGTCTTATATTTCATGTCAGACATGAGTGACAAGTGTGCTTTTCATATTCTGTTCTGGTTTGTAATTCCATGCATTTATGTCGTACAGGTTGAGCCTCATGTGCAGGATTTAGAATAAATCCTTTGCTAGAGGTGATCTTAACTGGGTTTACCAGGACTTCCCGTGCGGACTTCTTTGACTTTGAAGATTATTCCTCGAATGGCTTGCGTCGAACTTCACTGATCTACTGTTGGGATTATTTTTTGCAGTCAATAACTGGACGGCGGAAATTGAAGAAGTTAATGTAGCTTGAACTACATCACTTGCAGGGTCTCTGTTAATGGCCTCCCAACACTCGGATGTGGATGACTCTGAGAGGGAGCAGAATAGAGCGCTGCTTTCGGACGGATTGTGAATCATTTCTTCCAAGGTGTTCGGGATGCTGTTGTGCGAAGACTCGGTCCACCAAGTTCGAGATATTTTCTACTATTCCTCAACTCGGATTCGAAACCTCTAGCAGCTTCGCCAGATTTTTAAGACCTGTAATGAACCTGCATTGAAGCGTTGATGTGTGCCGCTTCTCAGGGACAAGGCCTTTTCCCCATAGCTTGCTTGACCTTCTGCGACCAGCAAAGTAGGGGGTTGCTGTTGTGTGTGTCTAGAACCAACTAACTACCTGCTCGTCTTCGACAAAGTGACTACTAAACTTAAAGAAATATTGTTCGAAGGGTTCAATTCATCTTCAGTTGAAACACTACTGAAATGTTGAACCACAAAATAATGTATCCACAACGAGGGCTTACAACCAAGAAGACAGAAACCGAAGAAGTTGTCAATGTGGTTACTGATGAGCAGATCAAAACATCCAGCGAACTCGAGATATTTGCACTGATGCTCAATGGGTGTACTTTGACATTGTAGGACAAACTTTTGAACTACTACCTCTTCACCAATAAGAAAGTGTACGAGCTAAACTGTTGGAGTTAGCATCTACAAATATCTAATTAGAAAATCCAGCAATAAGTTGACTAAAAGGTCATCCACAAGGAGCCCTTAATTGTAGAAGATACAATGAACATTCTACAGAATGAAGTGCTTCATAATTTGAAGTTGTGGAAGCAGCAACTAATGTTTGCTCTTGCAAGAATTGCCAAAGACAAGGGCACAATGTGCAGACTTGCCCTACTTGAAATCTACTTATGTCACAAGTGTCTACTAGTGCAAGTAAGTACTAACTATGTGCAATTAGTAGGATTGAAGAAGGAGTGTTTAAGATTAAACAAGCTAGATTTGTTTGGCTATTCATGGATTTGTGCATGTATTCATTTGAACAAGCATAGACAGACTGAATTTTTTTTAATGAAGAAAAATATTACAAAAACAATTCTTATGCCTTGACATGAATGTTCATTTGATTTGAGTGGCTTTACATGATGCATGAGTGTGTTGCTTGATAGTGCTTACAACCCAAGCTTCTCCATTATGTTTGCATATAAAAATTAAATATATGTCATGGACATGCATATTTATTTAGATAAGAAATATTAGATATAAGATAAATGTAGGCAAATTTGACATTATCTTGTGGCAAAGCTTCTTAAAAGCTTCATAGACATGTATTTGACTTTATACATGTTTATAATTGATTAATAGATTAAAAATTTGGCCAACAAGTTAGCTATGTGTCTCATGTGTAAGTAGCTTGTGGTACAAGCTAATGATGTGGCATGCATATAAGAAACTTGTCTTGTAAGTTAAGACACATGTCTTGCAAATTAGATATATATTGTAAGTTTGATAGAATATTATCACATAGCTCTTAATTAGATAGTATGTATAGAGGCAAGAGTAAAAGATTTTTTTTAACCATGCCAATGCCTTTTTAATCCTTAGACTTATTTCAAAACTTTTTAGTCTTCTTATTTTTAACAATAGCCATTCTAATTTAATATTATACCATCTTTGAGTGAATCTCCAATCTTATTGAGTGACACAAGAATGTATTGATTTATTAGTTCTTTAAGATTCATATCTTTGACAATATGAAATCAATAAAAATAAATAAAAAATAAAAATGAATGTCAACTTTAGAAAGTAACAAACATAATACTTTAATAATAATATGACTTTATTATCCACAAGTAGGCAAAGCAAAACCTATTTGTCTTCAATTAGAGATAGGACACCATATGTTAAAATTATACAACAATGAAGAAAAGCAAAAGCAATGTGATTATCTTGCGAAACTTTTGACAACATAGAACTTGTCAAAACACTGCACTCAACTATGTACAAGTTCTGATTGGTTATACTTTAGCAGTAGCAGTACAAATTGACATGGTTTGATCTTCTTTCTGCTGCCTTGTCATAACATAAACGTTACAACTAGAAATAAACTAAATATTAATTACATGACATTGTACATCGAAAACATTGAAATGCTTATCTTGTTAACAGACCATCCGAGGGCAAGTAAACGCCATAAATGATTCAATAAAATTCAAAATCACACAAACATCATACAGTACCTCCGACTAGCGGGATCCTCTGGATTTTTATAAATGGATACCTACTGGGACTTTTAAGCTTAAATTTGCAATTTGACGCATGAACAATATGGAATTGTTTTCGGAGAGAAGAAGGCTGGCGAGGACGCCAATCTACCGAGGTGTCGTGGATATCAATCCCGATTATGGTCACACATCTGCCGAGCTTGATTAATTGCATGCTCTGGGACACTCGGGCACAACTGACATGAGGTATCTGAATCCTAAAATCCTAGTTTTACATGTTTTCCTTTCAATTTTTAGAGGGACAGGTTCCTGACCTACAGTGAACGGCAGCATTATTTAAAACCCATATTAATCATAGAATGTTTTGGGCTTTATCTTAGGTTAACCGATGCACACAATATTAGCATGAATTAAGTACCTCGGAAGGTTTCACTTAGTTCAAACGTATGCCTATTTTATATCAATCTTGACACCCTCATTGTAGGTGATGTTGAGCACACACATTTGGTGAAGGGGCTTAGTTTGGTTCTTCTGCACAAAGTTAGGAGTGAGATTGACAAAGAACTTGCGAAATAAGTGAATCCAGATCGACCTCTGGATCCTTTTTAAACACATCCTCAACACGCCTCGGACAACTACAAGCTCAACCAAACATCAGCCAAGGATGCGAGAGGGAGAGCGCAACGCGAGATGGGAGTTGGGAGACTGTACGACTGAATCCAGGTCGGCCTTTGGCTCCTTTTCAAACTCAAAAACTAATGTTTTTTAGGAGAGGCAAGAGATAGTGCGGCCGCCATTATCAACGAAGCAGATTAGGGTAATGGTGAATGTGATTGGTTGCGGATCTAGTAGTAGATATATGAATCCAACAGTCATTTTGTTTTCACGATGGTTAGGATGGGTGGGTTAATTTATCAAAAAACTAGATTACTTTAACATTTCCCTATATATATAAGTTATTAATTTTTTTAAAAAAATTTACAAAAGTAAATTTAACCTACATTTGTATCTAAAACTTTTGTTAAGCACTCATCTATACAAAGTTTCTATACTTATGCCTCAATTTGGTTATGAATGTGAATTTACTTATTTGTACAAGCTTCTACAGAATGATAAGAAAGAATAATAAGAAAGAATAATAAGAAGTCAATAGGATAAATATTGCATCACAGAGACCTACAACCATATATGTATAAATATGTAAAGTAAAAAGAAATCCAATGATATCATGATTGAGACAACATCAAAAGATCTCAAGAGAGAATAAAAACTTGCATAAAGCAACACTGAGCCATCCACAAGAACATCTCAACGTCTTTTTCTTTCAAAAACAAAAACCCATTTATTCATTCAAGCAATTATTGCACAGAACATTGTGTGTGTGTCTGTGAGTGTTTGTAAAACTGTGTTTTTTCCGCTGAATAAATCAAGCATGCGATGTGTTCCGTCCCGGCATCAACCTTTCGATCATCGTAACCTCACGGATTGAAAATGATGCAACAATTTTCCTACTTTTTGGTACCACGGACAACCCCATCGTAATCGAAAGATAAAAATCAATCTCCTCAGTTCCCACGCGATCGATGACGCTGCTGCTGATCTAGTCCACAGGACGAGCTCGATCGGGTGTGCAGCAATGGCGGTGGGTCGACCTCGGGCTTTATTTAAATCCGCACTCAGTGATCCATTCGCGCTGCCGAATGAAAAGGCATTTGGCTTCCTTTGGAGTGTAGAATCGGGCACCTTCAACACAAACAACGCCAGTTTGAGAGAGCTGTTGGTTGTATCCTCAGGGAGGGTATTATTTGAGCCCAGTGGTCGGACATGGGCCGAATCATACCCCATGTCTGGAAGATCGTAACAGTAGTTACGGTGGTGACGGCTCAACGGGTGCTGCTGTTGCTGCTGCTGGAATTGAGCTATTCAGATACCTATGTCTGGAAGCCGTCCCCTGAGTAATTTCCAATCCATGTGGCCGGTAGGTTCTTGTGAATTGGCGAAAATGGCCCACATTGTAACAGATTCTGCAAGCTAGTGAACTCTGGGATGTAGTTGGTGCTTGTGAAGTCAGTTAAGCCGAAATCGCTGCATAGGAAGTCGTCCTGTGGCTGCGAAGGGAAGTATTGCTGGAACAGTAGAACGCTTTCCGGTGAGGAGGCTTGCGTGAAGGAAAGAGGTTTTTGGGTGTTGTCAAACGGTGCCCAGTTGCACGAAGAGCTGTACCCTTCGAGTGATTGATGGTCACATGATTCCTCAAAACATGTGCCGTCGCTGCTTGTGGGCTCGGATAGCGTGGATTCACCTCGCGGCATCGCATGGAAGTCGGTGCTGTTTAGGAGCTGGGGCTTGGTGATGATGGAGGGGTCGAGATCGTTGGAGTGGTGGTGGGTCCCGAGCAACGCCTCCATGGGAGGTTTTTCGTCTATTGGCGATGGGGGACCGGACATGCCCAACTGGTTGGAGCAAGGGAAGTCTTCAACTTTGATTTCGGTTGAGGAATCTAACAACGACACCGACAGCGGCGTCGCTACTAGTTGCTGCCTCTGGTTTCCTTCCATGTCTTGCAGATTGCGCTTCAGACGAGAGTTCCAGTAGTTTTTGATCTCATTGTCTGTTCGTCCAGGAATGCGGCCAGCAATCAGCGACCACCTGTGTAGCACCAAAATTTTGCCAAGTTAGGTCGTCATTCCCACCATGTGACGTCCACCTGGCTATAGTTTGCAAGAATAATATTAACATCGAAATAGTAAAAAAAATAAGATAACAATAACAACATAGAGATTCGAGAGATTAGTACTTGTTTCCTAGAAGAGAGTGCAACTTGATGATCAGCTCGTCCTCATCAGGCGAGAAATTGCCCCGTTTCAAGTCAGGGCGCAGATAGTTCATCCATCGTAGTCTGCAACTTTTCCTGCATCTCTTCAGCCCTGAAATCCAGAGCACCGACCCCGTTAGACGCCAGCACAACCAAGCACTGCACTATCAAATACCTACCAATCTTCTATTTGGAACAATGCGCAAGGGATTGTTCTGCTCCGAATGTGAACCTAAGTCCATACCTGCGCGTTTTGGCAGAATGCGCCAATTCCCCTCCCCATTGGCTCTCACGAAGGCGGTGAGGATAGAGTCTTCTTCCGCAGTCCAAGGCCCTTTGTTCAACCCCTCGCCTGTCGTAACCCTACTACTGCTGGGAGCCCGTCCCATCTGTACGAGTCCAATGCTACCGCAGCGAAAGTCTTTACCAAGCAACTGCTCCACACGTTCGAAATCCTAAGTCACGCGCTGGTCGATCCTTCACGAACCTCGTGCTACAAATTTCCGGAACTGATCAACCCACGCGAATGATATATTCTCGAACTTCAGCTCTCTGCAGCATTCATCATCGACTGTTGCGCCTGCTTTTGTACTCCAATTGACCAAGTCCTGGCAGACCACCCAAGTGCCAACTAAGCCAGTGGCGGGCGACGTTGAAAACCACCTTCATTTACTTCCCCTTGGCAGCCGTGTAGCATCACCCGATGGGAGCACACAACCGAGTAATTCCAACTCCCCCACAGCCCGCAACACAACGAGATTTCTAGACCTGGAAAATCTTGCTAAAGTAGAAAAATTCTAGACATCCTGCACCGTTGAACTGACGAGGCGTCGTGACTCGTGGAAGCCAGTCGAACTGACGATACCCCTCTGCAGCAGCTACAGTGTCCCTCTTTCGTACGCATCACACTTCGCTCACACCATCACATTGGGTGACGTCGCAGGTGTCGGTATTCACGCCAAGCTCGAACCCCCTGACGATGGATGGTAGACGTCAAATTCGGGGCGGGGGTGAATGCCTCTGACACACAATCAGATCTCACATGCGTGAATCCATTCACCTCACTTGTCGGATTCGCTGCTGCATCCACGCCGCCACTCATCGCAGGGCACGTCAAGGAGGCGCACACATGACAAAGGCCAATAAGGGACGAGCGAGGAAAACAACAATAATTGGGGTGACTCCGCAAGAGCGTGAGCTTGACGAGGATGAGTTCGGATTATTCAATCAGGTGGAAAATGTGGTGGGAACTGCCCAAAGTCGTGCCTTTTGTAAATCGGCATGGCGGCCCCTTGACCACGAATTTATGCTTTTGTTGCGGCTTCTCCGGCGGTCGTCAACGAGGAACCCCAGGCTCTGGTGGAAAACCCCATCCCTCCCAAGCAGTGCCTAATCTGGACCTAGTCCACAAGTTCTCTTTCATCTTCATCATCCTCGTGTTTTCCTAGAGCTTTGTTTCTGATTTTGGCGTTTTGAGGTTATGGGTTTGAGAGAATGGCCCACTGACTGAATTGGGTTGCAAATGTCTAGACTCAAGCATGACTTTTCCTGCTTGTTGTTGTTCTTAGTTTTGGGAGAAATTAGGGTTTCGTTTCTTGTTTCGTTTAGGGTTTCGGTTTTGCCACACACTCAATATCCGTTGTATCTTGTGCTTGGATTTGTTTGTTTTTGTTGTTGCTGTTGTTTATTTGGTGTTTAACGAGATGTTTCTGGTGGAGGTTGATGTAGTTCACACAATTGTTTTATTTGTTTATTTGTTAAATATATATGTATATTCATATCTGTATCTGTTTATCACACTGTGGCACGTGTTTGTTTATTTTGTTTGTGAAAGTAGAAACGTTATTAAATATAAAATCATATACTTGAAGAAAAGAGGGTTTTATTATTTTTTTAATATTATTATTATTATTATTATTATTTATAATAGTTTTTTTATTTTTTTAATTACTCATTGATTCATCCTTTGTTTCTTTTTTTGTCATTTGAATGATATGATAAATTGCAACATTACAATTAAAAATAATATTATCAGATAGAAGGAGAACCTCTTTCAAACCACTGATTAATAGTTATTATCAAAGTGTGAAAACATTACTCCATTTGCCTCTTGTAGCCACCACATTCATTAACAAAATTAGTAAGACTCATTCTAAAATTCCAGAAACATAGATTAGTTTGATATTAATCTGAGATCTTTTATGTTTACAGCAAATTGGAAGTATGATTCATTCTTTTTGAAAGTACAAATGAGGTAAAATAGTATATATATGCATATACACAGAAATAATTAAATTACCAAATTTTAATTTATCAATTTTCATCTTTGTCAATTTCTCGTTTTGCAAGTTTTCAATATTTTTTCACTCTCCAAGTTGTTGAGCTGCTATTACTACTCTACCTAAAGAATTTCTTGGATTAGCAATTTTTTCCAACTCATCCCACACAAGAACAAGTAAACAATCCACACACATGATATATATATATTTATATATATACATAAAACACACAAATGGAATCCCTTCAATACAAGAGTTGTAATTCAAGGTTTCACAATTTGAGTTGAAGTTGTCTCAAGCCAATGGAAACATGTAAAAAAAAAATCAAGAGAAAATGACATAGAATAAACTCACCATCTATGCCATCTACTTTTACCTAAGGTCTTCAAGACCATGTTGACAATTCAACAAAATTGAATCCAAATCAAGCATGCCTTTCTCATCAATAAAAACTTCATTCACTCTCTCTTTTCCAAACCATATCATACTTTTTTATTTGGTGTTGCCTACAGAAAATCCATTTCAAACCTTATTTCTAGAAAAATGTTAAATAGACCCATGCTTTTACTAAATCGACCCACCCATCTCAACCATCATGAACAAAAAAATGACCTCTAAATTTATTTCTCCACAATTGGATTCGCAACCAATAAAAATCAACCACATTCATCATGATTACTATATTCTTCATCAAGAGTGGGTAAAAAATCATGGGTCTATTTAACATTCCCCTATTTCTAAAGCTAATGCCCATGTTTAATCTTATTTATGAGCACAAGTTGGTAATATGCAAAATAATTTACATTGGGGTTCAATTTTGATTTTGATTTCATTTTCAATTTGTATTTTCAAGTTTGGATTCTCTTTGTTTTTTCTGATCGTTTAATTATTATTATTGTTTGCAAGCCATGTCAGCGTTAGGTCCACTCTGATTTGTCGGTATCTTAGAACAAGTGGTGATACCGACAAGTAGGACGGTGTCGGCGGCCGTGACACGTTTCAGAGCCCTAAAAACTCTTTAAATAGGCTCGTGGGGCTGTAATGGATCCAGACTGAGGACGGATGGCATATGGACGAATGAGATTTGGAAGTGCTTGAGCTTCAGAGATATTTTAGTGCGACGAACTTGTTTCAAATGTCGAAGTTTCATGATAGTAATTTTAACTTGTATATGATCGAAATGTATTAGAAATGTGGGTATTATTACAAGAATTTTATTGGAAATTTATGTCGGAAATTTAATGACTAAAAAAGAAAAAAACAACTTCAACAAAATTGCTACAATTGTATTATTAAAAAATCAGGGAATGATTTTTTTGTTGGATATATGTGTGTATATATAAATAAATAAATAAAGATAAAGTTTTTATTTCCCATTTAACTTACATATAAATGAAACATTTAAAAATAAGATCAATATGATCAACCAGGTGGATGTCGGATTAAATTACAATAAAAATAGATTTCTTTAAAATCAAAACGTAAAAATCACTTGGTTCTTTACATCCATTCATTGATGTTTGAATAAATAAATTCTTGCAAAGTAAATATAAAAATCTAAAATTTAGTTAGTGCAAATCTAACAACAATATAAAACTTATAAATCTTATTTTTCAAACAAGAAGAAAAAAAAAAATATACACTACAGAGTTCGTTAAATAGATGTTTTTCTCTATATATATTCTTTTTTCCTCTTTCTAATTTTCACCATACAAGTAATTCAATCACCTATTACAACTAATTTTTTCACTCCCAAAATTGACCACCCTCTCACCTATTGATTTTTACAATAATAAAATATCTTCACCTCATGAATTCCAACTAAGATAGTTTAACTTGTAAAAATAAAGTCATTTCCAACAACTATGATTCCCTATAATTAATTTATTTATTCATTATTTTTTTCTTTTACTGTAAAATATTGGTGGATGATTCCTATAAAAAAATGAATTCAGAATGGAGCCAAATATATCCAAATGATACCCATCTAGTTAGAATGGTGCTGATTATTGCATGGAGAGAATCTCTCTGTCACCTTTGCTCTAGTTTCTATTCTTTGACTCTACAACAAATTTTTTGGGGCTTGTGTTGATGGAACAAGGGTACTATCTCCACGTTAAATGCCTTTATTGGGTTTAAATAATATTTGGCTAACTTAAGTTGTGATCAATTTCAATTTGACAAAGTAATCAAGCAAGTTGAGGAGGTCTAAGGAAGCAAAACAAGAGAAAAAAAAAAAAAAAAAAAAAAAAAAAACTTACAAGAAAGAGTCAATTGAGTTTAACATTTCTAAAATTGTTTTAATACCATTTTGATTTGATTTGATTTGATTTTATCTCAAATAGAATGGTATTGTTATTCATTAAATAATGGCTTGGAAAAAAGATGCTGTTCACTATATATAAATAAATGTATAAATAAAGAAATAAATATATTTACAAATCATTATTTTACATAAATTGATTATTTTAAATTCTGTATCGAAATAATTCGATCTGACACCTGATCTCAGCTACAGAAATAAATGTATTACTCAAATATTTGTGAGGATTTCTGGTTAGTTTTAAGGTTAAAGAGTTGAGAAATTAGCTCCATCTTTATAAGTATCACAATATGATGTGGTAACATATTTAAATTTATGATTATAGTTTTTGAAAAAAGTTAGGCAGATAAACACATATAAACCAATATCAAAAATTTAGAATAATCCTATTATTTTTTTTACAATATAAATAAGAAATAAAATACATAAAGCACAATAAATATCACATTAGTTAACTCACCTTTAAATTTTTATTATGATAAATTATGAATTAATCGATGGATCATTATACTGTAAATGGAGTACACAATTGATTAGGATAATTGCATTGGTGATTGCAAATATTCAAATAACTTGTAACAAACTAAAATCCTACTTAATGTAAAACAAAAGATCAATCAACCACTGCATTGTATTGATATATATATATATATATATATATATAGAATTAATCAATCAATTAGTTATTTTTTTAATATTTTAATGATTTGACACTTAAAATATTGACTTAGATCTGAATTGAAAAAGAAATAAAAAAATTTAAATATCCTATACAATTTTTTTAAGAATTAATTAAATTTTTGAATATTAAAAAAGTTGAATGATTTTATTTTTATACTGGAATTTTAATTTTACACTACACATTTCAATATTGAAATTTGTTATGATTTTATCAACATGGACTGTTATTTTTAGAATAATCTTCCAAAGAACCCTTACAAGTTTGAAAATTAGAATCAAATTATTGATTCAAAATTTCAAAAATCACATCAAATTAATTTGTCTTAGACAATCTTCAAAAGTCCAAAAAAACTGAACAAATAAAATGTTCTTTATACTAATCTTTTTGATATTGTCAAGAATACTGCTTTTGAAAACTAATGCCAATCTCATACACTGAAATTTAAGATCAAAAGAGAATGATGGATGTACTCCACTCAAAAAAACACCCAAATGGATCATCTAATACGTTAAATTGTCTTCATCTTTAAAACCAAATATCAATATCCTACTTCTGTGTAACCAGACGAGTAACTGTATTTTAAAGCCTCCGATGTAGATAATGAAGCTTCTGTTGTAAACATTGAAGCTTCAGTTGTCGGATTGTAATCTTCAGGTATCAATGCTGAAACAAAAATTATCGATAGTAAAGTCTCAAATGTCGATATTGAAGCTTTAGTTATCAATTAAAGAAGCTTCAGTTGCCAAGATGGAGTCCTCAGGTGTCAATATTGTAGCATATGTTATGGATACTGCCGCTTTATGTATCGATATTAAAGTTTATGTTATCAATATTGAAATATCTATGATCGGTATTGAGGCTATAGTTGTCAGTATCGAAGTTCCTGTTATCGAATTTGAAGCTTCATATGTCACAAATGAAGCTCCAGTTGTAAAAAATAGAAGCTTTTGAGATTGATAACAAGTATTCAAGCTGTCGAACATAGAATGAAAGTGGTGAAATCACCCACACATGGGAAAGGCACAGCGGTGAGAGAATGGAAGAGTCGATGGTATAGGAGGATGATCGCTGAGGAGCTTGACGTTCGCAGACACTGCGCATCGACATCGACGCCACGAAATTCAAGGGCAAATGACTGCCGAATTTATTGCTGTGTGTAAGAATGGTGCACAATGGTATGAAAAAAAAAAAAAAAAAAAAAAGGCAGAGAAAACAAACCCGCAAACTCAAAGGGCTTGAACAAAGGTTGCACTGCTTGCAACGCAAGGTTGTTGGAGCCTAATGCTCCCTTTCACCTTCAAAGGATTTGGACAAAAGCTGCAGTCACTAATCTGACGACAACGATGTCGCAGAGAGCTCACAAGCTAGTTTGAGACGCGAGATCTAATACTCCTCCCCTTCGTCGTCGCCGTCGCCCTCGGTCGAATCCGCACCCACCTCCTCTAAATCCTTCTAAAGCGCGGCCAGATCATTGCACGCCTCGGAGAATTCCCCGTCCTCCATGCCCTCGCCGACGTACCAGTGCACAAACGCCCGCTTCGCACACATGAGGTCGAACTTGTGGTTCAGCATTGCGAGCATTCCGCCACCGCAGTGCTGTTGGCGATCATGCACACAGCGCGCTGCACCTTGGCCAGATCGCCGCCCGGGACCACGGTCGGGGGCTGGTAGTTGATCCCCACTTTGAACCCCTTGGACACCAGTCCACGAACTGGATCGTCCGCTTGGTTTTGATGGTGCCCAATGATACATTCACCCCCTTGGGCACGACGTCGCCCCAGTACATCATCGCGCAGGCGATGTACTTGCCGTGCCTGGGATCGCACTTGGCCATCATGTTGGATGGCTCGAACACGCTGTTGCTCAGCTCCGACACCGACAGCTGCTCGTGATAAGCCTTCTCGGCGGAGATCATTGGCGCGTAGGACGAGAGCATGAAGTGGATCCTGGGGTATGGCACCAAATTTGTCTGGAATTTGGTGAGGTCCATGTTCAGCGCTCCGTCGAACCATAGGAAGACGACAAGGACGACATCACCTGCGTGATGAGCCTGTTCAGGTTGGTGTAAGTCGGTCGCTCGATGTCCAGATTCCTCCGGCATATGTTGTAGATGGCTTAGTTGTCATGCATGACTGACACTTCTGTGTGCTCCAAGAGGCCGTGGCAAGATAGAATTCTGTTGTAAGGCTCCACCACGGCGCTAGATACTTGTGGGCTTGGGAATACAAACATGGAGAGCTTGGACTTTTTGCCGTAATCCACAGATAGCGTCTCTAGGAGCAGAGAGCCTATGCCGGAGCCAGTGCCGCCACCGACTGAGTGTTATACCATGAATCCCTGCAGGCCAGTGCACATGTCCGCCAGCTTCCGGATTTTATCCAACGCGAGATCCTTGATCACCTTCCTAACTGCAAAAACAAGCTATCGTCAGTGTAACTTCAGGGGAAAAGATTTCTGACGCATTAACTGTTGATTGCAGCTATTTAATTACGTAGAAGTGATTGTGTGCAGTGGTGGTGAGCTTGTACCCGTGTAGTGTCCACGGGCGAAGTTGTTGGCAGCATCCTCCTTTCCACTGATGAGCTGCTCGGGGGGGGGGGGGGGGGGGGGAGGAGAGAGCTGGCGGTATGTGCCAGTGCGCACCTCATCAATCACGGTGGGTTCCAAGTCCAAGAACACACACCGGGGCACATGCTTACCTGCTCCCGTTTCGCTAAAGAAGATGTTGAAGGCATCGTCTCCTCCTCCCACCGTCTTGTCACTTGGCATAAGAGCCGAGTCTACCTGAACTGTAAACAAACTTTGCTGAAAATCAGGAACACTGAAAGCACAACTGGATGCCATGTTCCAGACGAAGAGCTCCCAACAGGCGTGGCCGATCTGAATGCCGGCTTGGCCGACGTGGATGGATAGACACTTTCTCATTGTGAATTGCTTTAGCAGTCGCTAAACCACAGACGTCTCTTGATTCTGGAATTCCTGAGCTGGCAACCTCCGCTTGAGTAGGGTGAAACGAGATGCGAAGCCTGGGACTGTGAGTGCCGTGTCCGACAACTTGGAGCACAACTCAAGCCCGAGTTAATCTGTTGCAATGAAGTAGCCAACGATCGGACGATGACGACGACGGAGCTCTATCAATCTCTTAACTGCAGGTAACAACTTCCTTGACGGGTTTCAGATGTCCTGCCGCAGCTACATTCCTCAAACCAGCACAGAGCTAGTGGAAATGACAATCAGACGCTGCAGTGTGAGAGATCAATACTTATTTTATGCAACGACATGACGATTGCGTCGTCGTAACTCACACCGATTGCATCCTGTCGAATCCTGCAGCTTCAGGATTCGCAGAGATGCACGCGACATCGTAATTAGGGACGCAAGCCTTGCTCTGGGCAGTTACACAAGCTTAAGAAGTTGCATCAACCACGAACTCAGAAAACCACCTACCCCACTTCCCCATGAATGAGCAAACAACGACCACTGCTGATCCTTCGCGAAAGCATCCAGGCTCCTCAAAGCACCCTTACAAACAATACACACTCGAATCTAAACTTCTGTGGCTTACAAGAAAACCAGCGCACCTACTTGAAGACGCTAAACGACGTGGCCTGAGTTTAAACTCGTCGGATTGTTAATAACTGCTGCTGCATCAGCTAAAGCAGCAGAAGCAACTGAATCGGCTGAGTTCCAAATCCCTGAAGAGATCCAACTGGGTGCAATTGCAGTTGGAGATTGTATTGGTGGCCATGGTGGTATGCAACTGCTAGGCCTTCATCTGGACCAAGAGTTGAAAAGGCAGCTAGTTGAATATTATCAGAACCCATAGTTTCGAACCTCCTGATAGCACCCAACTATCGGAACCCAAGGTTTTCAGGTATTTAACAGCACCCGACTATTAGAACCCATGGTCTCGAGGTTCCTGATAGCACCCAACTATCAGAACCCGTGGTTTTGAGTTATCTGGTAGTACCCAACTATCAGAACCTTTGGTTTTGAAGTACCTGATAGTACCCAACTATCAGCAAAGTAAAACTGTTGTTGGATAATTTGAGGCGGTACCCATGTGGCCGAATTCAACTTTTGGCTTATAAACGAACTGCTGCAAAGGTGTTTGATATGGTCCATACTCACTACTAACAAAGTTGAATGAAACATTTATTGTTTGTCCTTTTCTGTATAACCTCTTCTAACCCTTTTTTTACTTTTTAATTATTAATTTCAGTGAAAATATTTTTATACATTTTTTGATCTCATTGTGGGAATGAGATTTTTTATTCTTTTAAATTAATTTATTAAATAATTTTCATAAGTAGTTGATATCAATAATGACAGAAATAATAAGTCATAAATAAAAACATACATCAAGATAAAGATTTTGGGAATTTATTTAATTGGTATGTATTTTTTTCCAATGAAAATTTTAATGTCTAGACATGAGAAGTGGCAGGTTGGGGTAGTAGTAGCAAAAATTGTGGTGACATTAGCAATAACCTTTGTGTATGTTATTGTAAAGATGTAACAAAGTTGCAATGCCATTCTCCAATTTCATGTCACAATGGTCAACCCTGATTATGTACTCTCATTTTTCTACCTCCAACATTACCACTTACAAGGAACATAATATTTTCTTTTTCCTCATGAGTTCCCACATACAATCGTGGACAAACGCAATTGAGAGTCAAACCCTTGTTCCCAGAAGAAAGAATCTTAATTCTTCTGCCACTGCCGGCAAGTCATAGTCCTGAAAAGTATGACACACGAGTTACTGCCTGCCACTGCTTACAAGTATAACACACAAGAGAATGCTCTTTGGCCACAAAATTAAAACGCACAAAGTGTGCTTATTCCGTGGATTTCTGAGTGTAGAATAAGAGAAATAAGAACGAGAACGAAACTGGTGAAGTTATCCAGAGTAAAGGAGAAAAAACAGTGAAGTAACACATATAGTTGAGGTGCCAAGATGCATTGAAATATTCATGCAGGCTGCGATGAAGGCAGTGAAATTTCCATTAAGATATTCAGAACCGGTGAGTACATCTTTGAATTAAATAATTAAACCACTTTCGAATCATAGTGGTAAGAATGCGTAAGTCGCGTGTGAACAATCTAAATCTCTACACGTCCACTACTGCCTAACTTACTGATCATGGAATTTTTTTATAGAATTATGATACAATCGAATTCTCTGTGTGTAGAGGATACGGTTATTGATGATGATGGGATCTTTCTGAATTACCTAGGCCACAGCTGTAAGATCCAGTGATGTAGTGGGCTCATACAACCGAGCCTAAATCTAAGATTCGATGATTAATCCCTCCGCATGCAAAGAATGGGGTTTCGTGATTCAAAAAATGGCTAAACTGAGACTGATGACAAACACTCAAAACTGTGATTTGTCAAGGCTGTCAAAATAGGGGTGGACTAGAGCTTCCTTAGCTGAAATTCGATTCGCTGGGTTGTATTGCAACAAGCGCTGCAAATCAAAACCTATACCATGAGTGTACAGAAACAAAGAAGGGTAGAACTTAGTTTCTACTTGCAAGCAAGACCAACTATAAATAATTTAATGTTCGTTTCCAAGCAAGATTCCACATCACAGGGGCCACGTGCATGGTGGATACTTACATCGAGGAGATCGACACCACTTCGTTCGACTCTTGGCACAGCTTGTGCAATCTCGTGAGGCTTCCACTGCGGGTAAGAATGCCAGTTCCGCAGAGTAGTTACACCTGGCCATATTTGCTCATTTGGCGTTCCCAACAACCTGCAATGAACCAAATTAATGAACATCACGTGCTTGCTCAGTTCGCCTCTCTTTTGCTAGTCTTCACCAAGCGAAGGATTTGGGAAGTGACCGAATATAGTCGTGGTGTAGAATAAGAAAATTCTCCAAGAGAGAATCGTGGGCGGTTTCTTACCGAAAAATGAAGAGAAGTTGCTGAAGTTCAGAATTTCCTGGAAATAGAGGCGACTTCCGACACAGCTCAGCTATAGGCATGCAGCAGATAGAACAAACTGAGGTCATTGAATGGTAGCCACATCAAGAAAAACATACAACCTACACCAAAGAACATCACACAGTCAGGACATCACGAACTTGAAGTCCTTACAGCTGTTGAAGAGTGTCAAAGAGTTCTGATTGATTCTCACCAAATACACATCCTACAGACCACATGTCCACGGGCGTTGAATAATGTGAGGCTCCCAGCAGAATTTCAGGAGCACGATACCATAGTGTAACAACCTGCGCGGCAAGTCCTAGGATTCAGCATCTTGATACCAAAAGCGAGACCAAAAATGTGAAGGCGGTTTCGCATCAATCGCAATGCAGGGATAAAAGGCGAGTCACAATCAACTGACCTCATGGGTATAGCTCTTCATTGGGACAGTGAAAGCCCTTCCTAGTCCTAAATCCGCAATTTTTAAGAGGCCCTTTTTCCAATCAACGAGGAGGTTTTGGGGCTTCAGATCCCTGCACGAAGGAGAGGTAATTCACTAGAAATGAGTTTGGGAACAAGCGTACAACAGAAATTAAGTTTACACAATGATCCTTCTTACAAAGGGTTTTGATAAGCTTCAATGCATCCGGAGTCTAGATGGAAGGCGAAAATCCATGCCCTGGCGGATTTTGAAATTTGGCACGACTTCATCAGAGCGATACCTGTGCATGATTCCGTGGCTGTGGCAATGAGCAACTCCTTTCAGCAATTGGAACATGAAGCTCTGCGCTCATTCAGGAGAGAATGGAGGAAGTATGCCTTCAATTAGAATGTGATTTGACACGGTGGTTCAAGATTGAGCAATATGGAGCAGTGGGATTAAGCACTGGTCACGCATGTAGTTGCGAAGGTAATCGCAATGGACAAGTTCATGAGAGGTAAGATGTTTACTAACTTTGATGGTGTTTTGAGGAAGCGGGTTGTCAGGGCCTGGCCAAGATAAATCCATAAACCTTCTCAGGTCTGTATCAATGTACTCGAAAACCATGAACAACGATGTCTTTCCATTCTTGTGCGAATTCTCCACACTCAATAATCTGTGTCAATCAAGGGACCACAATGTCAAATGCATTTTCATCATAGAGATTGCTAGTTAGCAGCAATGGTATATCAAATGAGATAGCAAACAAAGTTTTAGAAAAAAAAAATTGACAATAAGGCGCACAGGCCAAAGTTTCCAAATTGAGCATAATCCCTAGAGAACCGAGTTTCCAGAGCCAGAATGCGGATTACCGAACGAAGTAGATGCACGTAGAGAGCACTTGCAAGAGAGATACTTCTCGCAACGTCGTGGCAGGAATACCCTCCTTCTCGTTCTCTATCTTATTCTTTTTCAGCGCCACCATCGCTCCTGTCCTCTTATCCCAGGCCTTATACACTTTCCCATACATTCCCTCCCCAATCTTCTCTATCTTCTCGTAGTTCTCCATCTCTCGTCACTCTGTCATCGACTAGAATCCTTCTAAAACCCCAAGTACACTCACCACGCAACCCCAGAAAATACATAAACACACACAAATGCAAGCAGAGTAACCTAGAGAATGAAGCATCCCTCCGCTCACGAGCTCATTCACGCAACCTATTTCATCGAATCGTCCATTCGCTCCAAAAAAACAACAACACCCAACTCATCCGCCCTCAAAACAGACGACCCAACTCTAAAGCACTAACCCACGAACACTCCGCCGAATGGGCGCACCCCTAATCGCAGTGGAACCCAAATCTCCTCGCTGCTTCATTCTCTAGGCAACCTGCTGCTTCATCGCTAATCCATGACTCCTGCTCCCACTACCACTCTCTCCACCACATCCCCTCCCCTCTCCACCACACTCTCACACCACCAGCACACCGCCATGACTCGAAACAATGTGATCGGCGGCTCCAAGTCCATTCAAGCGCACCTCGCAACCCAGCAAGTGAGTCCGAAATCAAGCTGAGGAATCATGAACGATTACATACAGAGAGAGAAGGGGCCCCGCAAAGAAGGAGCAGGCCGTGGGCCGCGCGGCTCATGGCGGCTCTATGTCTCATTAGTGCTAATCAAATACGATTACGGTTAATCTCATAGTTGAACAGATTTAGGAGGGGTTTGGGGGGGGGGCAGCCTGGTTGAAAAGGGACGCTGCCAACTTGGAGTAATAACCGGTTTGATTTGGGAAACCCAGAGGAACATTGCATTAACTTTAATTAGACCATTCCCCCTAAAACATGTAGTAATGATAATGTTATTGCTAAATGATCCACCGCCCACCTACGAACGACCCTACCACCCTACTGCTCCACTTCCACCATGCTGTCCCCAAATGAGGATTAACCAACGAGGCTTAATTAGGGATCAAGTCTTCGGGCCCCACCGAAACGGGTTGAGGCGAATCCCAGCCTCAGAATTAATGACAAAACGCGGGCCGGGCCGAGTGGGTCGGGCCTGGGGAGGGGGAGAGCGAGAGTACGAGAGGGAATCATCCAAGTGGCGAAGAAGTGGAGCCATATTCTTGAGATTTGAATTTTCCACGTGCCTTGGAAAGGGGGAACAGAGAGAAAGAGAGAGGAGAAAAGGAAAGGATAAAGGAAAAGAAAAAAAGGAATAGCGGGTGAGGGGGAACTGACACTCTGGCGTGGGGGTCAAATAAAGGACTCTTTCCTGGCCGAGCGGGGTGGGGGTCCGTCTCGGGAATGGGTCCGCACGGGCTTCGTGTTGATACCGTGCCGCGACACATGGGGAAAGAGAGAGAAAGAGTGGGTGGGTATAGGGGGCGCTTGCCCCAAGGCCGGCCCTGTCCAGATTGGCAACACAAAATCTTTGGTTGAAGCTCTCCTTGCTTGCCCTTATTATTTATTATTAATTTTTATTATATATTAAAGTTTTCCCCAGCTGCCCCTGACAAAGGCTATGTTCCCCACCCTGGAGTGCGGATAGGGAGGAGGAAGACATGAGAATGCCCAAAAATAAGAAATACTTGGGCAGCTTCCCAAGTTGTATATTTGTCCCTCAATGTGATTTGGATCCCACTCACTTTTTTGTGCTTGTTCTGATGCTTTGCAATCAAGAGGAAAGACCCACATGATCACTTTGAAAATATATATCAATATAAATAAATAAGGGAATGATAAATAGACCCTGGTTTTTACTAAATTTATCCATCTATTCTAATGATCTAAAAAAATGACTTCAAGATTCATTTCTCCACTATTAGATTCAAAACCAATGAAAACCAACCACATTCATCATGATTATTATATTCTTCATCAAAGGTAGGTTGATTCAGTAAAAACTTGGATCTATTTAACATTCTCATATATATATTTATATATATATATATATATATAATATTGAATGACCAATTTGTGGAGAGCCAAATCTTTGCAAATGGCTTAGGTTGCAAAAGTTTATGGCTTGTTCTTCACAACTCCCATCACAATTGCTTTATTTTCTAATCCTCTTTTTGTAGCTAATTTCCATCTTGCAAACAAAGGAGGTTAGATTGTCATTGTAATGCAAGAAACCAAATCATGTAATTGTGTGATGTGAATGTCGATTGAAGTTTTGGTGACAACAATACACCACAAATTGAATCAAGCTAATAACAAATATGTATAATTAGAAGGATAACAAACATAAGAAAATTGATGTAGTAAAGGAGAATGTGAAAGATCAACTTTTAATGTAATATTTCTAAAAGCTGCAACCAGCTTGGATTGTAGAATTATTTTAAGAAAGGCACTATTTAAATAAGTCAATGTGTTGATCAACTACACCTTTCATAGAAGTCACTCTTAATTTGCAAATCTTGATTGCAAAGATATTAATTATAATATCAATAGATTATTGAATTTTTTTCAAACACTCAACTAATTTTGATAACTACTATGAAGTAATATAAAAATTTATTTACTAATGCAACACCAATTGAATCTAAAATATGATGCAAGGCAATCAAAGAATCAAGAGAAAAGAAGGTTTAACAATAATAAATACAATTTTATAGACTAAAAGAAAAAAAATTTAAACACTTCTATTACAAAAAATATATAAGATTCTATTAGTAAATATTCCTATTAATCTATGCAAACTATAATAAACTTATAAAGAATCTACATCAACATTGATAAATTTCTTAATTTGAGTGATTAACATAGCTCAAAGTATATATATTTAAACTATCTTATAACAACTATCATAACTAATATTCATAATCTTTCTATTTATACTATCAATTCTATCTTTAATAATAAGTCTTCAAAAAAAAAAAAAAACATCACAACTATAACAAGATTCTAAAAGAAACAATAATATTACATAGACAACTAATTAGATCAAAATATAAAACTTAACTACATTTTTCATTTTATTTTCTTTTCTTTTTATTTTTTCAAAAATCTCAAAAACAATGTTAACATGTAAAATATTGCATAGGGTAGGAAGATCAATGACAATTCATGCACTCTTAGAATTTTTTGTTAATACACAACTTTAAATAATACAAACCTCTACATGACATCGCTAATTAATTTGTATTTTACACTATTACATGTAGCTCATAATTACAAAAATATTATACCAACTATGAAATAAATATTTTAAAAGTAATATGTCTTTGTATAATGGAGTTTAAGAATTAAGTCTTGGAAATCATTGCTACCAAATAGCATGCTTTGTTACTTGCTATATTAAAAGAGATCAATTGTAAATAATATATTATATTTTTAAATATAAATATAAAAACAAAAAGGTTATACTAATTTATTTTCTATTTTTCTATCAAAATACCAAGAAGAATTATTAGTAATAAAAAATATTATTCAAAATTTTCATACCAAACTATAATTTGTAGTTATCAGTATTTTTTCATTAATTAATCCTAAAACCATTTTAAACATTATAAAATAGACATCTTTTGAATTTAAATAATTAACTTATAAGATATGTAAAAGAACCTATTGAAGCAGCATACAAAGCAAAATCCTCTTTCTGGCATGAACTTATAGCCACAATAATCAATTTTCTAAAACAAAGGTGTATTGGTAATTTTCTACTTGGACCTTAATAAATGCAAATTTAGTCTTGAAGTTGAACTAATTTCTTTTGATTTAAAAGACCAAATATAATTAAAAATTCTTGGCTTGATTTTTTATTAATAGAATATTTAGAAATATTAAAGAAATAAGATATTTTGTAGAATAATAAAAATCATTAAATTATAAAATTAATCCAATTAAGTATTCTAGAACAATATAAGAATGTTCTTTATAATTGCACTCTATCTTTCTTCTAAAATATAGTTGATAGTAAAATTGTATGTTGTGTCTCATGGCATTAGAAATCTAAATAATTTTTTCAAAGTTCTTTAACTTTGTAATAATTTTTATTATGTGTTTCGTTAAAAATATAAGTTTAGTTTCATTAATGTATAAGAGTTAGAAGGAATTTCATAGAAAGAAATAAAATTTATATTCTAGTGGTGGCTTGTAGCTACAACAATATAAATAATAGAATAAGCAAAAAAAAATGTATGTATTCTCATGAGCTCCTTTTTTAAACATCCGATTTTCTTAATAATTTTTCTTAGATAAATTCCAAAAATACTATTCTAAAAAATTTAAAAATGAAAAGATACTTATGCAATAAATAACTCTAATAAAAAATTAAGTTACAAAAAATAATTTATAATCTGTTTTTTAAAGATCATAGACAAGTTTTTAGAATAGACAAAAAAAATCTTCTAACAATAATAAAATATTAAATAAGATATATTTAAATAACTATTTAATAAGAAACATACAATGATTTAAAAAATAGCTTTGTTTCTATAGACTCTGTAACTAATTTAATTTTTATAAGATAATAAAAGAAATAATAGAAAAATCTAAATGATAAGAAATAGGTTTAATATGTCATTAATTATATTTTAATAGGAAATATTAGAATATTTAATTTTTGAAGATGTTATATTATCAAATCATCTCTTAATTAGCCTCAATATTGTTTAGTCACTATTTTTGATATTTTTAGCTAACTATGAGTTTCATGCTAAATATTTAAACGAATAATAATGCTCAAATAGCCATCTAAGATATATAAACAAAATAAAGAATGATAATATTTTTTTTTTAGTTTTAAAATATTAAATTATATTAAAGACATCTTATTAAAAAATAAATCTAATTATTGAAGTAAAAAGAAATAAAAAATCACTTAAAAGCTATTTATAATAGATAATGATAATTAATTAATAAAATATTATTTTAAAATTATATAATATTATATAGTATTAATAGAATAATAAAAATTAGAAATAAAAAATAATAGAAACAAATAAAGTGGATTGCCAAATAAGACTATTATTTTATAATACATACATATATATATATATATATATATATATATATATATATTTATTTATTGTAAAATAAAAAAGCAAAAAGTCAATAAAAGACACTTAGTCTTAAAAACTATGCCAATAAAAGTACCAAGGATCCTAAATATGACTATGTTATAAATAATTGGTTGTATTACAAAACTATATGAGCTTGATTGATAAAATTATAAGATGGATTTCATATTACATATGATTAGAAAATTTCATCATAAAAAGTTAGATAAGAAAACAAAAAATGCTATCAAGATCTACCATCACTCAATAAATTAAACAAGACTATTAAGTTCTTTTTGCTAATAAAATAATTTTTGGTCCTTATTAAGATAAAAATAAATATTTTAGAATCTTTTGGTCCATCATCAAAAAAACCACATAAAACATAGGGAGATGTTTACTTCTAATTTTCTATATAAAGATTTATGCATTTATATATTTTTTTTAAAGTTAGAAAGTCTTTGACAAGTTATTAGTCAATAATCTTAGTAGATATTGCTTATGAAATACTTGTAAGAGCACTGCAATTTAAGATTCAACCCATTATCTTAGATTAATTAATCAAGACAAAAAAATATTCTTTTGCTTAGAACATATCTTTAATAATATAAAATTGGTTATTAGACATCTTTATTAACCATAAATTCTTTTTCTTCTACTTAGACTTTATCAAAGCATATAATAACATTTTATAATACTTTTTAGATAAAAAATGGTGGAAATAAGTTTTGATACTAAATTTATAAAAATGAGTAATCTACTCTTAATAAAAATAAAAATAAAAATATTAATGCATATATGTATATTTCTCTATTTTTAATGTCTTCTAAAAAGATATCAAATAAGAATAGATATTGGAGCCCTTTTATTTACACATTAGGTAGAATTGCTCTCCTCTCTCATTCTATCTTTGGAACACTTAAAAAACCAATTGTTGATTATTCAAAAGTGCTTACATATTCTAAATAGGCCATAATTTCTTTCTTCAAGAAATTAATTTAGTATAATATTTTGTTTCTCATGCATGCTTGTAAAACATATTACTTGCTCTATACCATCACATTAAAGAAGCTTTTGCTCTTTTCTTTCATAGAAGGACAATTTATTGAGCATTGCTTGCAAGTAGATGGCAACAAACTTGCACAAACAAATGAGAGTAGTGCAAAACTACCATGTGTTGGATAGTCTACAAATGACTGATTTATATTCTATGTAAAAAACAATGGTTAAAAACAAAGAAAAAAACTAAAATCTAACATGGTGAGACCATGGACAAAAGGCTAAGAAAGGTGAATATAAACTATTGCACTCTACCATAGTTATATTTTAATCTCTTCTTTGCTTATCCTTACAAACAGTACACAATATTGTACACTTAGAAGCTAAAAAATGCCATTGTTTTTAATTTCCAGTGCATTAATTTGGCCAAAGAAAATGAACTTGCTAATATGTAAATATATAAGAATGTGCAGACTTGTTTTTGCAAAATTATATTTGCCCTTAAAAGTAATAAGAAGTAATGAAGTTGAATCAATCTATATAAAATTTCATTTACTAAATAGATTCTTATAACACCTTTTAAATTATGATTTTATTTTATTTTTATTTTTATAGATGGTCGTGCATGTTCAAATGCATTTCACCGTACGAGTTTTTTCCTCAACAACTTTAATAAGTGGATAATGGATTCTGTCCACTATCTTTAAATAATGCTTTTCAGCAACTTTCTATCTGTGAAAAATAGATTTAAGCTCTAGTGATTAGCTTTGGCGAGAGGAAGGCGACAGATGATCAGTAATGACACAAGAAGGGAAAGATGTTTACTGCATTGATGTGAAATTGTGATGTAATCTGCAACTTCAAAATGTTCACTTCGAATCCCAGTAAATTGAAAACTAAACGAATAACAGTGGCCAACCTGTCTAGAGATACATCCTCTATACACCAGAACAATTGATCAGTAATCTCAGTCTTGTAAGTTTACTCGACTTCGGCAAGATAATCTTCAACTTCCGCTGGTGTTAAAACTCTGCAAAGAAAAGCACGCATGATTCAGTTATTACACCAAGGTGATGAATCGTCCAGAGTAGAACTTAGTGACTTGAAATTCATATTCAACATGTCGACAGATGTAAAATACCATGCGTCTAACCAGAAAGCTTAGCAATGATACAATTAGCACAGTTGGTGAAGCATACTTGAAAACACGCTTGTCATCAATGATGCCAATCTCGATATTCTTCCCCGATATTTGACCTTCAAACCTGTCATGTCCAACTGTTAGATATTCGAAACTGACCAGTACATGTGGTAGGGATCTAGCTCAGATTGAAAAATATGATCGAGCACATGTTGAAAGCATGTGACCAGTATTTCCACCTCTCAAGACATAACGCTAAACTTACCCTTCCTTCAAGGTAAGAATCGCTGTGTGAATAGCGTCTTCGAGTTCCATGTCATCGGTATACCTGCTTGAACAGAAGAACCCAGTGAATAAGTCACCAATTCGAGTTACATATGGAAACTTGTCAACTTATCATGGATGTAACGGATAAAGTTATGAAAGACAATATGTGCCAAGTATGAAGATGACTGACCTTTTCTCTAGGAAAGTCTTGGCATTGGACACATTCTTGCCTATTGCTGATGCCTTCCATGAGAAGTACGATCCTGAAGGATCCACCTGAAATTTGCCAAAATCACATCTTGTTAAGCACATTCAAATAAACCTCCAGTTTTTAACAACATGACCCTACCCTGCAAATGACTCTCCATTCAAGTCATCGGATAACACGTGTAATGCCCACAATGACTTGTCTGTCTCGAGCAGTCTGCAATCCTCACAATTGAGAGGCAGCATGCAGCGGAAGTACCAGAATATTTCACACGAGACTCTGACTCGTCCTAAACCCAGCTCAATAAATCATCGACATCCAGAAAATTGAAAGAAAAAGTAGCGGTCCCTATAGATCTCCGTTCGCTATGATGAAAAACAAATTCCGCTTGTGAGTACATCCCACCTGATAGAGTTGAGGACCATTATCATCATACCCAGCCACCAGTAGGGACACGCCAAAAGGTCTCACACCTCTGCATCATCATCAACAGCTATATTATTAGAAACCGGGAATATCTGTAATTGCAATCTCTTTAAACAGGGAGTACTCAAGTAGTACCCACAAGCAAGGTAACTACAACATGCCTTTCTTTGACCAGTTGAAATGCAGCAACTCTTCATTACACATTTATGAGCCTCACAAAGACTATTAATCTCAATATCCCAAAACACTTAGAAGCACCAATAGAAATCTCAAAGTCATAGCTTGACAAGGAGCATCTAAAATAACCACGAAGAAATTCGCACCCTGATTGTGTGAACTCCTGCATCACTGCAGCTGTCTCTCTAACCAATTGCGACAATGGAATGGGTTCCTGCATTCATTACAAGGGAGCAGACATACGTAAACAAAGTACTCGTTCTGGACACATGCAATTGGACTGTCAGATCGACAGTACCAAACTCCGCAATAAATTGAGACTAATCATTAAACAAACACAAGTACATTTGGGAAATGAACCATTACTTGGACCCTCTGCCAGAAACAGAAATGAAACCATTCACATTGGTGATCACAAACCTGATAAAGTCGCTGATACGTTTGTGCTTGCTTCCGGCTTTTGCGAACTAAGACACGAGAATCAGGACCCATACCACTGAAGTAACCCACACAAGTCATCACTATGTCAGTTAAGAAGGTAGGAGTAGGAAATTCACGAGGTCCAAAATTCAGATAGAAATTGGAGAAACCATTGGATAAATGCAAGACGAATGCACACTGTCCATCCACCGATTGAAATCAGCAAACTAACCCTCAAGTACCAAAAAAATTCAGGACGCCTTAACAAAGGCAGGACTACAAAAGACGATGTGGGCTGGTGCGCCATGAACATATGTTCAAATAACCTTAAATGTCTACAATGGTTTTTTATGCAGACAGTCCAGGCGTTGAGAACAGTAATTTAGTGCGGGTGAAGTAAGAGGTGCAACAATTCACAACAATTCTGACCTTGAAACTCAGACACAAGCACTGACCTGTAGACGACTCCGATATTTGGCGTCAGTGACTGAATCTTGTTTATCTGAAAACACACAGCAAATGTCCACAAACGCTCGTCACCAATTTGCATAAACAGAAGCAAATACTTCGCAAAAAGACTGTACAACTCCAGAGGAAATCACCAACAAGCAAGGAACTACGACCGCCGCAGGGGGATTCGGCAGCCTGAAAAACCTTCATCACCCATAAAATAAAAATGAACTAATAAACTACAGAAAGAGATGACTCACCGAAGATTCATCGACAAGAATTGAAGGGAGCTTCTTCTCTGTGGCAATCACCACCCCGTTCGAAGCTGGACACCAAGTAAGAAATGATCAAATCAGATAATTGCACACAAAGAACAACATACCCTTAGTGTCAAAACAAGCTAAGGGAACACCACATTACCTTTGATCCCGAGAGAAGTTTGACCTGCACCTACAGCCATCAAGGCATATTCGATCTGCACCAATTTTCCAGACGGACTGCCGCAGAGCCAAACACAGCGACAAAATATCTCATACCAGTTAGGTCATCGGCACAATCCAACATTATACAAGAAAAAACAGCAAGAGCTGGGCGCCTTGTTTCACGCAATTCACATCCTGCGCAATCCTCAACTTCCTATGATCTCATTCAATTACCCACGTAGTCCCGAAAACTCATCAATATTGCCCCAGAGAGTTTCAGGGTACACATCTCCTCAATACTAACATAATCTCCTTATTCACCAATCACAGCTAAAAAACCAAAACCAAAAAAAAAAAACAAGATAAACAAGACATGGGTAATCCTCGCATGCGGATCAATCACTATCTACCATTGCCAGAGGCCCATCCCACAAAATCCAAGAGGCTGCGCGACCGAGGTGCACAAACCTGAAAGTGGTGAGCGAAAACGAGTACTGGCTGTCTCCCATAGCTGAAATTGAAGGTTCCCCACAGCAACAAGGGATGTATAGGTGGGTATGCTGCACTGGCGAAGCTGAAGATTGCCAAACAAGAGGTCCGATGATAGATGCAGCGATGGAATAGCAGATCGGTGCGGGAGTCGGAGGAGATGGTTTGAGCCCCAAGCTTGCTTGCAACCAGACTCTGCCCTAACGACGCTGGCTCTGTTGCGACGAACTCCGACCGACGGTCGTCGATGCGGACGACGTCGAGAAGATTGTGATCGTTCGTCCGACGGAGAGGGAGACGATCGCTGACGCTCCGTCTGCTCCAACGTTTACGTTCAGGGAACGTCCAGCCCAACATTATTGTATGAAAGTTTATTAATGAGTCCAGTCATAATATTTGGAGTAAATTTTTAGTCAATAATATTGTTAGATATCTTAAAAATCTCAAAATTTTAAATATTTTTTCAATTTTTTTGGTTATAAAAGCATTTATTATATTAATAAAAGTCAAATTTATGTATTACAAACATTTTGTTGATAAATAAATTTATCAGTGATATTCAAGTAAAACATTAGAATGGTGCCTACAACTTAGATTTTTTTTATTGAAAAAATAAATTAGACAAGATTTCTATTCATCATAAAAACTTAAAATATCAAAAATTTAAAAATGCAACTATTATTAATTATTTTAAGGTGGTGAAAAGTCATAAATCACCAAAGATAGTTGTAACTTTGAATAGTAAAGTAGCAACCATTTTTCTTAGATACTTCAATTTTTGGGAGAATATGAATTCTTCATAGATATTAAAATAAATTATTAATTAAATTTTAATATCACAATCAAATGATAATATAAACAGTTAAGAACATCACTTGATCAAGATTCAAGTAATGTTACATTCTAAGAAGTTCAAATAATTTAAGTACAAGTAATAATTTAAATTTAAATTTAAAAAATTAAAAATTAAAAATATATTATAAATATTAAGTATTTATTGAAAAAAATAATTTTCCAACCATTTTGTTTAATCAAGTTGGTAGGATAGATGTGTATATATGAATGGTATAGAATCCAAGTATTGTAAATACAAGTTATTTCTTTTGTCTAGCATTAATATTTAGTAAGTATTATCATCTACATTGATTTCAATTGATCTTCAATACCACCAAACTTTAAACTTTTTTATATAAGTTTGATAAGATTAAATTATTTTGCATATTGGAACCAAATGGTATAAAAATCAAATAAAATCTTTTCCTAGAATAATGCATATGAATCGTTTATAAATCCTTTTGTGATTTTTCCATTAAATATTAATCTCTTATTATCAATAAATAACATATTTGTTGTAGAAAGAAATCAAACTAGAAGTTCATTACAATTCTTAAGAAGTTGCATTAAAAGCAATTTATAATTTGGTACTTAGATCATAATTTTTTTACTTTTTAGAAAGCTTCTACAATACTATTTATATATCTAAGTATATAAAAAGATAAGACTAAAACCATATTTGGTCTTATCAACACCTATCTTATAATCTACTCTTAGTTCAAGTTTCTTTAGTTCTTTTTTTATTAGTATTAATAATTTTACTTCTTTCTATCTTATATCTATTTTTTATGTATATATTACCTCTCTTTCAATGACACAAGAATGTATTGTCTTTTTAGAGTTTTTTCTTGAATTATGTCTTTGGCATTAAGACAATTTTTAAAGTTATTTCTTAGTTTTCTTATCAAGTTGCTTTAAGCTCCAAGACTAGTATTTTTATTTTTAATTTTAATATTGATATGTTATATTTGAATAATAATTTCTTTGATTATTTGATAGTTGATGATTTTTTTATGATATAAATTCTTAAATATTTACATAGTCAACTTAAGAATTTAGCTATATTAGGTTTTTTTTAATAATACATCATATATCAAATGTTAGAGGAATAAATCCAAATAAATAAATAAATAAATAAATCTTAGAAAGCTAATATATTTTTATATCATTAAAAAAACTAAATATATAAGAAATAGATATAAGATAGATAGAAACTAGAGTAGCTATTGCCAATTATATAGAACTTAGGAAGTCTTGAATCAAGAACAAAGAAGAATTGAAAAAAGCTATGAAAAAATTGAAAGAACTTCTTTTTTCATTTCTAACTTTGAAAAAAGTGAATTGTAAATGTGAAAGGCATGTGGTATTAATAGTTGATGTAAGTTCAATTGGATAAGGTTAGACAATTGGACAAGATGATGAATAAGAGAAAAGATATGTAATAAGATTTAGAGCAAAGATTTTCAATGCAAAACAATGGGCACATACACAAATCAATAGAAAATTATAAAATGTAATAATAGCTATGAAAAATAATAAAAAAAGACTACTTGATTAATATATTGGTAGTTATAAAAAAAATAGATTATCTATCTTTATTGGGCATGATTACAAGTTATTCAATTCTTAATATTGCAATGTTAAGGTAGATAGTATATATTATATCTATAAATCTATAGTTTAAGCACATTACAAGAAAAAATAATTTAGTTATAGATATGTTATTAAGGATAAGGTATTATGATAAAAAAGATAGGATTGATTTAGAAGATGATATAGATACATTATGTTTGAATACATTATATGTTTGAATACATTATTGGAATTATTTTTAAGAGACTTATATAAACGTGAATAAAAATATATTAAAAAGAATCTAAGCACATTAAAGCAATAAGAATTTATATAAATCAAGAATTTAAGAAAATTTATAAAAAATCTTATGTTCATTTTTTATGTGACTAATATTTATAAAAGCATCCAAAGTGGAGAAAATAAACACTATAGTGGGTGATGTGTAGTTCAAAAGCTCAACAAATAGAGGTGAATTGGATGCAAAGAAGCAAGAAAACTCTTTGGTAGGATAGAAATTTAACCTTCTTTAATAATAGCATATAATCCAAAAATAATGGTAAAAGTGAACATAGACATTCACCTATTGTTAAGGCATTAATAAAGGTATGTAATTTTAAAGTATGTTAGTAGCTAATGCTACTACCATTTGCATTATAGGCAGATTGTACAACTCATAGTATAATAACATATTATATATCTTTTAAATTGATGTGTAAATAAAAGTTAATATTGCCAATAGAAAAAATAGTATATACATAAGAAGTGTTGCCTTAATAGAATGATTTTAATAAAGAAAAAAATTTAATAATATTAATTCAAAAATTGGAAAAAAGACATGAGGATATTGAAGTAGTAATATAGATGTTGAAGGAAGCAAAAAAAAGATATATTTGATAAAATATATTGACTACATCCTAAAGCAATTGAAGAAAGAGATTGAATCTTAGTCTATGATAATAGTTTAGATAAAAAATATAGTATATTATAAAAGTTTCTAAATACTGATTTAGACCATATGTTGTGATGTAATTCTATGACAATAGTATATACTTGTTTTTGGAACTTGATGGAATAGAATTGAAGACACTTGTAACAAAGAAGCAAGTCAATTTATTTAAATAAAGAAGTACATGTATTTATATTGATGAAGAACAAAATCTATTAAGTGATATTCAACTAAGAGTGGAAGAATGAATTGAAGACTAAGAATTTAATGAAGATAAAGAACATCCTATATTAATATATTGAAGAATAATTGGTATATGTTGAAAAATGCACATGTTCAAGGAGAGTTGATGTTGTATTATAATATAAATATTAGGTGAAGAAAAATGAATATATATATATATATATAAAATAAAATAACTTAATTAAAAATATTATTAAAAATTACTTTAAAATTATAGATAATAGTTAATAAGATAAAAAAACTAGTAAGTGTTAATATTATCTCTTTACAAAATGGGCTTCGATTTACATTATACGGCTATAAATGAGGAAAAAGAAATGTAGATAATAAATATAAATAATACATACATCTTTAGAAAACAAATTAAGAATAAATTTTTATAAAAAATTCTTTAAGAAATCAAGAAGAGCTATCCAAAGAAGACCAAATAGGAACTTGAGTCAAAATTAGATTCTAAGATACAAAACCATGCATTTACAAAAAAATTATGATTCTTTGATTTATTAGAAAGTAGAATTTAAAAGCAAACTAAAGATATGTTCTTTAGAAATTGATTTTAAGTGGTTAGAATTTGTAATGACTTTTTAATGACTTTGCAAAGTCAATGTTATTTTGTGTAGACATTGGAACTTCAAAAAATAGAAAAAATTTATACTTTGGAAAATTTTGTAAGATTAGTAGATGACCTATAATTAAAATTTAGTGATTGAGTAATTATCATTTTTAAAATTTTTTATTATAAATTTGAATTTAATCTAATATTTTATTCAAAAGTCAATATAATTCAAACCTATTAAAGTCTTGAAAATTAAAGTTTAGAAGACTAGTAAGGATTTTTAAGATTTATAATAATCTGCTAATTGAATTGAAATAAAAAATTTCATAATAGTAGTAGATTTGAATTTCAATAATTGTGTAAAGTTTAAAAGTCATTTGATGGTAAAATTAAGAGATATTGGCATTGAGAGATTGGAATAAAGGTTGGAAAAGAAGGCCAAATAATATTCAAGTAGATTTTAGAATTTATCTTATATTTTGTAAGTTTGATCTTCTTCAAATTGTTTTTTTTGTTATCAATTTAGTAATTGAGATGTATGCAAATTTTGAGTCAAAATCTATAGTTGAATTATTAATTATTAAATTTCCAATATATTTTTTAATTAGTTAAGATTTTATTTAAGAATTAAAATTACATCAAGATTTGGTTTAAAAATTAGGATTTGGTTTCATTAGGATTTGATTAGAATTTAAGATTTTATTGGAATTTGATTTAGAATTTATGATTTAGGATTTGGTTTGGATTTAATTTAGATTTAGTCAGGATTTATGTAGAATTTATTTAATATTTAATTTAATTTTTATTTTTATTTTATATATTTTTAAAGATTTCAATTGGATTTGATTTAAAGAATTATTAATCTTTGATTGGAGTTTATTTATGATTCTATTAGAGTTGTTAGGATCTTGATGTTATAATTTTTATTTTATCTTCTACAATTAAGTGCTTGGTATATTTCCAAACAAGATATCATGTAATATGATACCATTGACAAGAAATAAATATTTTTGCTCCAAATTTGACTCTATCTCTATTGTCCTCATTATTATCTTGACCAATTGCCTAATCAATTCCTATTATACTTGCATCAACCATCAACACTACCAAACCTTTCCAAAGCATAATCAATCTTCTTCAAAGTTGATGGTGACAAAAGAAATTTCTTCAACTTCTTTATCGCCTTCCTTTGTTCTTCCTTCCATTAAAACTTTTGCCTCTTTCTTAACAAAAAATATTATGGATCTGCCTTACGTATAAAATATAGAATCCAAATGTGATAAATGATACATGCTTCCAAAAACATTTAAATCTTTATTGTACTTGTATGTTCTTTTATCTTTTGAATAGCATCTATCTTCTCCATAGATGACTTGTGGCCATATAATCTACATACATGTCCTATAATCATCACTTCTCTTACTCCAAATATTGGTTTAGCCCCTAAAAAAGTTAAATGAACCTTTTCCAACCTTGTCAAAATCTTATCACAATTAACAATATGATTTGCAATAAATTTTCAACACTCTTTTGTATCCTAGGTTTCATCATTATTTTCTTCTATACATCCTTTCATTAGAATATCATATAGAAATGACAATCTTTTTTAGAATTAAATCTTTTTATACCTAGTTTATTCTATTCATCATATCTGCCACAAAATTAATATCTTTTTGTGATAAGGTACACATCTTAATTAAATATAGTGGCATTTGCATATTAGTCAAGTTTTTACTCTCTATTGCTAATTAAAATTGGTCATATTTCAAATAAAGCGACAAATGTAGAATTTTCATTAGATCAAATAAATTTGGATTTCAAGGTTAGTAAGATTTTTTTAAGTTGTGATTAATCTATTAGGTAGATTAAAAAAATATTTGTAAGCAAAATATAAATTTAGTTTTTAACAATTTTGATAATTTTTAGTACAATGTAACAATTCAATAAAGAGTTATTGTTGTTGGAAAATCAACATTAAGGTTGAAAAAAGTCAATTAAGGATCAAAGGTCATTTCCTAATCACCAATTTAGCTAAAGAATATAAATAAATTATATAAGATAGATCCATTAAAATTTCTTAAAAATTAGCTGGCTTTGAAATGAAGTAGTTTAATATTGAAAGTATCTAAGTTAATAACTTTTGTGTTTGTTTTAATTCCCATCTTATCTATAAATTGATATGTTAAGTAGAAAATCAATTATTAAATAAAAATTAAGGGGTATTATAAATTATTCTTAATTGATTAAAAATTATGATTAATTTGTATTTTTGTGGATTATTAAATTGTATTTCTTTATAGTGGACAAAAAAAAAGAAAAAATTTAAGTAAAAACATGCAATTCACAAAGATGTTAGATTTTTGTAGTTTTTTGAGCGATTTCCTATGCATCTTGTTATGACAAAGGTCGAAAAAAGATGTTAAATAAAATTAATATAAATGATTAATAATATAAAATAAATTTAAAATTATTCATAAAAAAAATATATATTTTTAAATTCTTTGTTTTTGAACATACTCTAGAGAAATATAAAATATAATATTTTTATAATCATTATAATGTTATATTATAAACACAAGAAGTCATTGAATTTAAATGCTATGTATTAAAAATAAAGTGCATCACGGTCTATTGTCATAAAGTTAGATGTGTTTATACTTGATTTTTTTTAAATTTTATTCTAGTATATTAAATATCAAAAAAACTAATCATATATCAAATTAAAAGCTCCTACCTATGAGCACCATTATTAAAAAAAAATAATAATAATAATAATAATAATAAATCATATAAATATTTTATAAAAATTAAGAATTTAATATATTAGAATTTATAATGATAAAAATAATAAATATTATCTATAAATTCTAATTAGAATAAAAATAAAAATAAAAAACATCAAAATAGATGCTTATTAAAAAAAATATTTAATTAATAATTAAATTAAACTTGATATAATGGATGACTATATTATTCAAGTAAATACAAAAACATAAAAGTATATAGAAGTAAATAAAAACATAAAAGTATATAGAAGTAAATAAAAAAATATTAAATAGATAATTTTTTGAAGAAATTTCAAGATAATTTCTTACATTTAGATAATTATATAAATACTTGGACTTTTATGGATATCCTATATAACTATCAAAACTTATTTTATATTTTTTTTAATTTTTAAAAATTATATTAAAAAATACTTATATTTTGATGCTTGAATAATAAGTCTTATTTTTTGTAGCTCATAAAAAGTGCTTTTGTAATAAACAAATAAAAATTGAAAAATGAATATGCAAAGCTTATTAATGCTTTTGAAAGTTCCTTGATTATGGTTAATGTATTAAATTGAAAGCTTCTTTGTTTGTTATTTAGTAATCTATTTTTTAATTTAATACTTTAAATTATCATGTTCAAATACTTGAAATCAATTCAATTGAGTTTATTGTCTTTTTCCAATTGCATACATTCATGTCCATGAGTCACCTATCTTATACAAGACTTTGGAGTTCTTTTTTTCTATTAATTAATAATTTGGTAATTAATTGATTGCAGATATGAAAGAAAATACTAAAGTTGATTGAATTGGATTGTTTATTTGTGAACTTAACAATTGGCAAACTGCTTGTTTTTAAAAATAAAAGATTTGATTTTATCATGTTTATACTTAATTGTACTCTTCAAGGTCCAACAAATTTGTAATTTTTTTTGAAAGTATTAATCTGTAATAACTTCAAGAAAGCATTCTTAGTTCATTAATGTTTTATGTGGAGAAGAAGTTTTTATCGTACTTATGAGGATTTGATTGGAAGGAGTACAAATGACATAAGTTACTCTTGTTCACATAAATCCAATTCCAGCATTAGACTATGACCTCTTTAAGGACTTTTTGGTTGCAGGATATCATGGTCTCATCAAGGCAAATACAAGTAAGGCCTTTGAGTTGGAAAGCTATATACTTTGAATTTTGTTACAAAAAAAGCCCAACTATTAAAAATTTATACTTTTTTTTTATGACTAGTCATGGAATCCTTAAAGTGGCCACTTGCTTGACTAATGGATCCCAAAATTTATTGTCTTGAAGCATGAGCATATAGTTGGGAAGGAGACAACATTTTTGGAGTACAATCCATATTGTTAAACATTTATCTTCTAGTATATTGTAGCCAATTCACACCTTAAACCTTCTCAAATTTGATGTAGTCTATTTAAACATGCAGCCAATGTTGACCGTCATTGGAGATGTTCTGAGTTAATTCATTATCAAAACCATTGTGACTCTCCTCCTCACTAGATTTGGTGTTAAAGAATTCTTTTTGGCTAGCCAAATCTACAACATGCTCTATATTAAAACCTACCCATATTCCACCATTTTCATAAAAAATACCATTCAGGGAGTAGATTCTAAAAAAGGTGGTTAATAGTTTAACACATAACTTTATGTTTTGCATCTTTTATACATTAACAAATAAAAATAAAAATACTAATTAAGAAATACGTGGAAGAAATTTCATATACATAGAGGTTTAATTCTCCCACTTCAATGAACATACATCTGCAGATGTGGTGATAATGGGTAAATAACTAAAAATGTGACACAACCCTCTTACTCGTCATTTCAAACTTAATTAAATAATGACAACAAAAAAATTAAAACGAGAAGTCTTGATTTATTGGTTATTTATTGGTTAAGAAATATTCAAGTTTCCATGTGATCTATTATGTTGAGGCTCCACTACAGCCTTCAAAGTAGTGAAACAAGTCTCTACTGTGACAGAATCTACTTTCGAACTATTCACTGATGCTGCGCCACCTTTTGTAACTGCAGAGCTGGACTCACAATCCTTCTGAAGCAGCACTCTGCCGACCTCGTGTAACCGACATGCAATTTGTGTCAGTTGCAAGAGTAGCAAGTTTATTGAATAAGAAGTTATTGATCGATTGAGACCCACTTATTTGCTCCAGCTCCGTCTGCAAGAACTGATGCAACATCAAGCCAAACAACTAAGGTTTAATTTTTCAACCTCGTTACTATGACAGTTAATGGTAGATTGTGCTAGACCTCACTACGACTATTGCACACCAAATTAAGACTGTGTGTAACCATCTGACTAAATCTTACCCAGAGTCAACTTCCTTCATCAAGGATCACACTGCTCATCACTGCCACCGAATCCTCATGGCCAAAGGATTCCGTGGAGCCGTGATTATTTAATTAATCCAATAAAAATATAAAAAATTGTTTCTAAGATTGGGAAATTAACCGTCACTAACAAAGGAAAGTGGAATTCAGAGATTGAGCACCTTGATCTTGCCAACAAATTCCTTGGTCCCAATCTTGGTGTAAAATACTACTAATATGGTTGCAACGTTATGTAGTGATAGGTATGATAGATAACCATGTGCAGGAAAATTTTGCCTCAGCAATCGACAGTAGCAGACATATATAGAACACTAGAAGCACAAGTTTACCTCAGCAGATTGAATCATAGTTTGAAAATAATGAACCACAGTTCAAAAATCATTTTGTAACTCCATGCTCACAAAGGAATGACTCCAATCAAACACTTCCTCACTCCCCCCACACAAAGCGCCATCGAACCCTCTGACCTGCGGACTTCACTATTCTCGACTTGCTCTTCCTAGCATCCCCAAAATGACTCACGTGCGCGCATCTAGGGCCCCAATATTTTCATCTACATCCATCCATAGACATTCGTCGGGGTTGGTCGACATTGGGAAGCGGAGGAGGAGTTGCAGCTTAGCTGACGGCATTGGGGTGGTGGCTCTACTAACTGTAGTTCCTCGTCCACGTCATACTATGTAAGACAAATGTGTGAGGGATTCTCTTGCGTACTCTTTCGATGGCACATGTGCATTATTGTTTTCTTGTTACTTGAGTCTCCTTAGCGTCGGGTGACATCGGTCCTTGCAGGACCACACGTACAGAATAGCCCCATGTTTTAAAATATATGTATATACACATATTTATTTTGGGAAATGATGAAGCAACCAATTTTTTTTTTACTAAATCGACCTACATGCTCCGTTCTTAGCCGTTTTTATGTTCCCAACTGCCACCCCCATTCCCGAAGTTTCCAACCTCATGTCCTTGTCCTTAACAACAATTGGGAATTGGAAACAAGGATGGAGGCTCCAAGGGTGCAATGATGCTTAAAATAAAGTGGGTCGCTTTAGTGAAAATTTGGGTTGCTTTATCATTCTCTTTTATTTTATTTTATTTTATTTTTACTTTTAAGATAAAAATGAGGTATAAAAAATGCATTAATATAGTAAAATATCTTATATAAAACATATTAGGAGGTATAAATCAATGTGATAAACTGGGGAGATAAATTGACCTTTTGATTGGCTAGATTTCTTAATTATCATAGTTTTCATCAAAAAAAATTGCTTCATTTTTTTAATCTAAACTTAACTTAATTGGTTGATTTAGAAGGCTTTAAAAAAACCAAAAGTTGTCTCAAGAATCTTGCAAAAGGTAGAGTTAGATAGATGCTAAAGTTGAAGGTAGTTGCTAGTGAATTTTTTGGATGTAGAACAAAGAAGAGTAGACACAATATACAATAGTACTTTTGTAATTCATTGCATCAAATTATGTAACACTTTCTTGATGTATTTCTTCCCATTCTATTAAGTTTCTTCTCTTTTTAAATGAGATTTTGAATTCCATATTAAATATTATTTTTTTAGAAAAATCGATTAATTGATTATTATTAATTCTTTTATATACTTTATTATTTATTTATTTATCTATAATTCCAAAATTTGACTTAAATACATCTTTAAATTACTTAGCATAATTTTTGTTTTTTATGGTTGAACTTCAGAAGTAGTTCTTTGAACAAAATTAACTAATTTTTTGCATGTTTTTTTATGATAATTCTACAAGTTTAACTATTAAACTAGAAAAAGACTAATTACAAAAAGATTTCTTAATTTCATCAAGGCAAAGTTAAGAATATTGTCTGATAAATATTGCTATTGTTTTTTATTCAAAGTTATATTTTTATATATTATTAGTCTACATTGTGGTATTTTAGGATCTTATTTAATTACCTTTTGTATTCTAAAGTCAATCATGTGTTTAATCATCAAAGATTTGTTCTACTTGCTGAAGAGACTTAACTTTTATTTAAAATATTTTGTAAGTTTTTTCTTTTGATTAGTCCAACTAATTTATCTATATTCTATTAAATCCTTTCAAATCAAACTTCTATTATGGATGTCACTCCACACTTTGTATTTAAAGATAAATTTATTTCTTTGAATCTATATTGTCAAAAAGTATAATTCTTTTTATTAGTATCTAGATGTTTCTAAATCCTTCACATCAAAAAGAAATATGTTTTACAAAATTAGTTTGCTTCTATATTAAGGCTTTTTAAGTAACCATATTTATAAAAATTAAAAGTTATTTTTTATAAAATAAAAATGATTCAATTCTAATTTTGATGTACTTGATGTAAATTTCAAAATCTATAAATAATAGTTTTTATAAATAATAAGGAAAAATAATATAATTAATATTGATGGAAGGACTAAAATAAATTTTAAGGGCACAAGGTTAAGACCAAGTATTATATTACTTAAATGCAAAGTCATATTTTAATATAGAATTCAATTTGATTTCCAAAAAATTAAAATTAAGAATATTTTTTTGTAGCAGCTTCTTTCCAAGTTTGATTAAGTATGTCATAATTGCTTATGGTATCTTCAAACATGTCAAGTATCTAAATCCTTTTGAAAAATTCTATTACTTCTTAGATTTTAAGAATTCCAATTTTTTTTAATAAAACCAAATTCTTAAGTCTACTTAGAAATTCTTTTTAAGAATAACATTTTCACATCATGAACTTTTTGTCACGGCGATGATCATGTAAGTTAATAATTACATATAGAAATAGGTAGAAGTAAGTAAAAGTAGATAAAAGTAAGTTAATTCTATAATATTTAATATAGAAGCTTCCTAGAAACTTCCTAGATGCTGCTTTGACTTCATAGGTGTCTTTAATTGACTTTTTGGATTAGAAACGTGGTCAACAAGTTGGCCATGTGCCACACATGTTGTTAGCTTGAAGATCAAGCTAATTATGTGGCCCACATGTAGAAAAACTTGCCTTGTAAGTCAAGGCATGTGTCCTACAAAGTCAACACATATTGGAGGTCCTATAGAACGTCGCCACGTAGCTCCTAGTTAGATAGTATATATAGAGACAAGAGTGAAGGCTTCTTCACTCTTGTCAACTCCTTTCTTGCTTCTAGTCCAGGTTCAAGAGTCTTTAGTTTCTTGTCTTGTGGCAATAGCCATTCCAGTTTCCTTTTAATATACCTACTTGTTTATATTTTGACTTATTATATCGAGATAGCCTTTTGGTGTATATTTTCCCTCATCGAGTCTTTGTCCTTGACAGATTGACAAGAGTACACTTACAATATCAGAGCTTTGTTTTTTCTTGAGTAAGAGTGGATTACCCCTTTCTCTTGACAAGACATAAGCGTATTAGAAGTTTGCGGATTACCCACTTCTAAACTGATATTGTTCTTAGTATCTTCTTTATTATCAAGTCTTTCTTTTCTTTTGTCTTGAGCAATATCAAACAAATTTTTCTTCTTAGTGTCATTATGACAGAGCTTGTTGAAATGAAGAGTGCAATGGCACAAATGCAAGAGCAAATGAGGGAGTTAATGCTTGCGATGCATCAACTCAATTCACCAACACAGGAAAGAACAAGAATAGCAGAAAGTGGAGATATAGAGATGATCGGAGCTGCTTCAACATCTACAACAAATCACGTTCCTTCTCCAATTGTACAACACCCTATAAGCACTAGAAAATCAAGAATTGCCTTACCTGAGAAATTTGATGGTACGAGATCAAAGTTTTGAGGGTTCATCAATCAAGTACAATTGGCAATTGAACTTCAACCGCAAACCTATCCAACTCCAGGATCACAAGTCAGGTTTATTGGCACTCTACTTTCTGGTTCTGCATTATCGTGATTTTCGTCTTTTCTTGAACAACGAAATCCAATATTGGACAATTTGGAAGTTTTTTTGGCGGAGTTTCAATCTATGTATGGTGAACACGATGCAACTCGTGTTGCAACAAATAAGATCCGAATTTTGCGACAAGAAAACCGCTCAGTAACAGTATATGCTTCACAATTTTGATAACTTGCAATTGACATCAAGTGAGATGATGCTGCACTCATCAGTCAATTTCTTTATGGATTGCAATACGAAGTAAAGAAATTGATGCTCAACTTACCTGATCCTCAAACTTTGAGTCAAGCAATCGATTTTGCGGTAAAATGTGATAATCGACTTTTCGAATTTCGATCCGAGAATCATTCATGGGAACCTCAACGTTATTACTCAATGGCAACATCAACATCTTTGCCAAACGTACATTCAGAAGTAGAAGACATGCAAATTGACGCAGTACGTTTTAAACCCCTAACTGAGCAAGAAAAGATTCGTCGTCGTCAAGAAGGATTATGTTTATATTGCGGAGAAGCTAAGCACACTACTTAACATTGTCCAAAGAAACGACGCAACTATAAAATGAGGGGTACGACGGTCAAAGAAGACAACATGTCGAAAAACGGATTCGTTCAGCTACAATAGGGACCGTGCAGTTGGAACCTTGTACAATTCCTAATGAAGGTCCTATCCTCTCCTCAGAACCCTCTCCTTGTTTTATAATAGACTTATATTTAGGACCTAAGAATTACAAAGCCTCTGCTTTATTAGATTCGGGAGCCTCAGCATGTTTTTTAGATGAACAATTTGTTAAAAGTCGTAAAATACCCTTTGTACAGAAACCTAAACCAGTACATGTAGAAGTCATAGATGGTCGTCCCTTGTCTTCTGGAGATGTCACTCATGAAATTCATCCTATAAAAGTAACAATAGACGGTCATGATAGGTACATAGCTTTTAACATAATTAAATCCCCGTCCAATCCAGTTATTTTAGGTTTATCTTGGCTAGAAAAATATAACCCTCGAATAGATTGGAATTTGCATAAACTTGACTTTTCCCAAAGCGTTATTAATAGTTCTACCAACCAAGTAAAAAATTATAAGTCTAGTATAGTAAAACCCGTACTGATAGGTGCAAAAGCATTTATACACGCAGCAAAAGAAGGATCAACTTTTGCTATTTATGATGTACCTATTTCTGAAAACGTAAAGACTTCAATTGGCATTCCAAGTCAATATCAAGAGTATCAAGACGTTTTTGAGAAAAAGAATGCAGATATTCTTCCTGAGCATCGTCCATATGATTGTTCAATCGACCTCAAGGAAGGAACTCAGCCACCATTTGGACCAATTTACAATTTATCGCAAGATGAGATGGCTGAACTCAAGACATATATTGACGAGAATTTAGCGAAGAATTTTATACGCCATTCAAAATCTCCAACAGGAGCTCCAATTCTATTCGTAAAGAAAAAAGATGGATCTTTACGAATGTGTGTTGATTATCGAGGACTCAACAAGATCACAATCAAGAACAGGTATCCATTACCTTTGATATCAGGACTCCTTGACCAGTTGAATCAAGCTAAGATCTATACAAAA